CGACCAACCGTTGCCAAACGCTACACGTCAGTATATATATGCCGATGATACAGCGGTGGCGGCACAAGGTAGGAGTTATGAAGAGGTGGAACAGAAGCTGACTACCACTCTAAATGAACTTTCCCAGTACTATGACGCAAATCACCTCAAGCCGAACCCTGCTAAGACCCAAGTTTGTGCCTTTCACCTGAACAATAGAGAAGCAGGCCGAAGGCAGGTGAGTTGAATATGACGTAGCGGGGAGACCGTCTGGAGCGTTGTCCTACACCTCAATATCTTGGTGTCATACTGGACCGCACACTGATACTTAAAGCGCACTGTATTGCGACAAGGGGTAAAGTCTCAGCGAGGAATAATATCATCAGGTAGCTCACCAGCAGATGCTGGAGTGCTAACCCTAATGTCCTCAGAACCTCAGCTTTAGCGCTTAGTGTGTCGGCTGCGGAGTCCGCTGCACCAGTATGGAATGCATCGTCACATGCCAAAAAAGGTTGACATTGCAGGCAATGACATGGCTCTGGTTGTAACTGGGTGTTTGATACCAACCCCAGTACACAAACTCTATCCTATCATAGGGATCGCCCCTCCATCAATCCGACGTGATGTCGCTGTCGACGTAGAAAGGACTAAGCAAGAGACGGACCCTCGTCACCCATTACACGGCCACCAACCTGTAGAGCGACGGCTTAGAAAGAGCTTTCTATCACGGACATGAGTTCTGAATGGATCACTCTCAAGCAATCGGGTGGCAAGGTGGGAGGCCACGTTGACTAACCCTCCCATACCAGCCAGGGAGGAACTAGCTCCTGGTGGAGACCTACATTACATGGTGTGGAAGACCCTAAATTGAATCAGGGTCGAGGTACCAAAATGCAAGACAAACATGCAGAAATCGGATCTCTTACCAGTCGAAGAAAACATCTTGTGTGCGTGTGGTGCTGTTTAGGATCCTGGCCATCTGCTAATCTGTCCACGCCTAAACCAGTCTTGCACATTAGATGACCTTTAGATGACAAGCGAATAACAAAGCCATATCGGTAGCTAGTTTTTGGAAAAGTGAAATCTGATTTCCGTACACTGAAAGTAAGTACCTAAGAATGGTGTTAAGTATCTAGTATTCAACAAACATCACTTACCTTAGTCAATATTAATTTGTCAAGACCAAAACATGAGCAAATTATATAAAAATTAATGGTATCAGCAATCTAACACATACTTTCTCCCATTAGCTTGTCAACAACCTTTATCATGGTTAAGCGATGAGAGTAACTATGATATTTAATAGGTAAAATCACAAAACTTGCATTAACTTTTTAACCGTAATTTTTACAGGAATGGGGGTATCACGATTTTGTTTAGAATTAAAAAGGCCATTACAGACGAATTTCAATCAGAATTAGTTTTTTTTTTAATCAATTTTTCCAACTTTTGAACCGTAATTTCTACAGGAATGGGGGGGGGGGGTTGCACGATGTTGTTAAGAATTATAAGGATTATCCATACTAATTTCAACTAAAACCAGTTTTTTTATACAGTTTTCTCTTTATTTTATGGTTTTTATGGGGGAATAACATTATTTACAAAAACTTTTGAACCGCAATTTTTACAGAAATGGGAGTTATACCATTTTGTTCAGAATTTTAAGGGCTACAACATACTAAGTTTTTATCAAAATCGTTCGGGCTATTTTCAAGAAAGTCTGATTTTCCCGTTATTTTATGGGTTTATATAGGAACATCAACAATACAAAATTTAAAAAAATGGAAAAAACCCCTGGAGTCACCAAGGATTATTAGGCCTACCTATCCTATATATAATACGAGTAAAGTTTGAATAATTGTTACTTCGATCTGGAAATCGGCTCTAACAAAGACGTTTATATTTACGGAATAACTAAGTTCTGGTTCAACAATAAGTTCTAGACCAGTGGTATAGCCAGGATAAATCTATTTTCACCGTAATATGAGTACAAACTTTTGAAAATTTAACATGGGCCTTATGAGAAAACATTCCGCCATTGTTGTCATTTGTTTACATTTTGAGAGATAACTCGATGGAAAGAAGCATAGTCTATAATCTCTATAATTGGTTCTGTACCCACGGGCACCTCAGCTTGCGCATGCGCAGAAAGCTCTTGAAGCACTTACCGAGGTAACTGTTGTACTTCTGATGTGTATTAGCTTATGACTTACAATTTTGTCAACTTGAGACAGAGAAAAAGAGGACGACTCGACTTTGCTCCAGTTCATTAAATCGTTTGATTTATAAGAATTTGTATTACATTATAAAACTTTCCAGAGTAATGAGTTTCTAATCCATTAAAGAACTATTCTTACATTATCCTCAGCTTTATTACTGTTTATTTAATACTTTTACCAATATAAACGAGCGATATATTTTATTTTTTATTATTTTTAATGCTTTTAATAATAATTATCATCACTAAATTACTCTTTTCGTTGATTGTCGAGTCGTGTCGTTGTCAATAATGTCGTCTGATTCTGACTGATGTCAGATGTTACACTGAATCGGTCACAGGGATAATAATTAATTGTAACCTACAACTAGCTTACCTAACTAAGTTTCAGTGTTGCTATTAGCAGTGTGGGATGATTGCACTCGACTGTTTAGCTATATTTCAGAAAATAAAGTTTAAAGTAAATCAAACCCTAGGATCTCTTCTTAAGTTTTGGCCGTTTTGAGATGTATACTTTCAGGACTCAGTTTAGCCTAGCCTGATCAACTGGGTTAGTAGCTTGACTTAGTGGTCCATCCATGTTTAGTTTATTATCACTAATCAATGCCTAATCTAGATTATACGTGCCTTATTCTACTCCGTTTTTAAAACTAACATACATAGGCATAAGCTTTAATTTTTGTATTAAATACTGGGTACATCATTAAGGTAACTTGGTTAGGTTGCTTTTTATAAATGAATAATTTCATGAATCACTAATACCCTATATCATCTAGGTGTGTTCAGTACATAATGACACTCTCTCAAAAAAGTACTAATCCTAACCCAAATAAAATATAGGTTGGTAGCTTTAGGCCTACAGAGGACGAGTGTTTATATTTATATCACTTATATTTATATCTCTGTGGTTAGGTTTTAGTTATGTTTGCCTTAACATGGCTATAAGTTTAGGACTAGATATCAAATAAACTCCCAATTAAATTATAGTGCAGCCTAGTCAGTGTCAGTAATAGTGTAATATTTGTCAGTGTCAATAAAATAGTGCAATTGTATAGGACAACCAAACTTGGACATACAACCATGTTTATACCTAAGTTTCCTTTTTGGTACTCACCAACAAGGATCAACCGTAATTTTTTCAGTCAGAAAGTGTCCTGGTTTCCGGAAAATTGTAACTTATTACATTTTAAAAATTAAGGGTAAATTAAAGGTTTCGGTTCTGGTTTTGGAGCGAGTCCAAGTTCTTGCAATGACGAAGATTTTCTTACTGCTGATAGCCTTTTTTGAATTCAGCGTGAAAAATACTGGGTAACTTCTATAGTTTGGGCCGTTAAGGGGAATCAAACAATTTTTTAAAAACTCTTCTATCTCGTCATTTCAGTAAACTATGATATTATTATTTTAATAGAAGTTAAATAAATGTCAAGAAAAAATATACCACGAATTATTATTTTTGGGATAGAATTACATTGACCAAAGAATACTCTCAGAGTATAGTGTAGTGATAAAGTTTCCCGAGCAAAGCTCGGTCTCCAGGTACTATAACAAATGTCATCAAAATCGGACCACAGGTGTAGTCTGTAGCTCTGTACTACACATCTACACACACAGACACACACACACTCACACTCACAGACATCACTTTCAAAACCACTTTTTTGGGTCCAGGGGGGACCCAAAATGGATATATCCACTCAAAACTCAAACTTGAAAATGTTGACAAAAACAATACTTTCTCCATATACAATGGTAATAAATGCTGTCAAATAATCCTTTACTATGTCCAGAATCAACATATCAAGTATTAATTGAATTCTTGAGGGAATTTATATAGTGTTCATACAGTAAACATTCATGCGTGAACCTGGAAAAACTTTGAAAAACCAGGCAAAAACTTGGAATTTCACATTAAAAAATGGTATACACCCTGTTATAATGGTTTATATTACCTTGTTACTTTCCAAAACAATCCTAACAAGGTAATATAAACCACTATAGTTAATTCAGACGATCCAGAGGCCATTCCATTATAAATAATTGTTAGAACTTGGCACCACTAATTCTACACTAGGCTGATAAGAAACAGACATTGGTTATTTTTACTTATCTTGTTATTTTTTGTTTTGATATAACAGTTCATTTCATGATTACGATTATTTGAGATAGTCTGAACGTTAGTTGTGAGTTGTTTTCTGTAATTAATGAGCTCGTCATTTTAATCTGTTACATTAGTCAGTTTACTAGTGTTGTTGTTTTTCCATTGTGTCGTTACCGGTACTTCAAAAGAGTCTAATATCAATGTTATTAAATAGTTTATTTAACCCCTTTTACAATTCTTTCCTTCATTGTCCGCAGAAAGTTTTCTAAAAGGTGGTTACCAAACATTGTAAGTAAATTTATGTACCAATCACTTTTCTTATCATCAAGTCAGCATTAATACAGGTCGGATTGTTCTGATAATGAGATAGCCAGGTGATGTAGAACCCTCAAACTCTTTCCTCAAACTACAGTTTTTTAAAGAATGTTTTTGTAAATTAGAAAATTACTCTTACATTCTCAAGTAAACTATAGGCAAGATATTAAAATGCAATTAACTTTGCATTAAACCAACTCTTCCAACTCTTCTTAAGTTTCAATGTTAACTGTAATTAGTTAATAATATTGCCTGTTACATGCATGTTGGGCAAATAATAATTTCTCTTGCTTTTATGTCTTAATTCTGTGGTTACGCTTAATTTTTGAGCTAGAAATAGTTTTTTTTTATTATTAACTCTTGTGCAACTAATGTTTACTTGATTTACAGAACAAGATGACTGGAATGGCTGTTGTATTGTCGGGTACAGAAGTGTCTAAGTAAGTATCTTCAACTTATTAATAGGTCTACATGAATAAATTGATTGACAAAATTAACTCACAGAAAAGAATATTCTTTTTTATTTCATTTTTTAAACATCTAGCAGTGAACCAACTTAAAGATCAAATGTCTTATTAGATGCATGCTGGTGTATTTCTTAGACTCAAGTGCAAAGGTTGATTCTTAGAATGCTAACAAGGAGTGTCAAGTTTGAACCGCTTTTTAAAGAGAAAAGTACCTGATCTTGTATCTAAGGCTTATCTTACATCTGTGACTGAGTGATATTACTTGTACAGGGAGATGAGGGAGAAGTTGGCTGTAAAGGTGATGGAGCTGAAGAGACAAGTACCTGATCTTGTGTCTAAGACCTACCTTACATCTAGGACTGAGTGATATTACTTGTACAGGGAGATGAGAGAGAAGATGGCTGCAGAGGTGAAGGAGCTGAGGAGACAAGTACCTGATCTTGTGTCTAAGACCTACATCTAGGACTGAGTGATATTACTTGTACAGGGAGATGAGGGAGAAGATGGCTGCAGAGGTGAAGGAGCTGAGGAGACAAGTACCTGATCTTGTGTCTAAGACCTTCCTTACATCTAGGACTGAGTGATATTACTTGTACAGGGAGATGTGGGAGAAGATGGCTGAAGAGGTGAAGGAGCTGAGGAGACAAGTACCTGATCTTGTGTCTAAGACCTACCTTACATCTAGGACTGAGTGATATTACTTGTACAGGGAGATGTGGGAGAAGATGGCTGAAGAGGTGAAGGAGCTGAGGAGACAAGTACCTGATCTTGTGTCTAAGACCTACCTTACATCTAGGACTGAGTGATATTACTTGTACAGGGGGATGTGGGAGAAGATGGCTGAAGAGGTGAAGGAGCTGAGGAGACAAGTACCTGATCTTGTGTCTAAGACCTACCTTACATCTAGGACTGAGTGATATTACTTCTACAGGGAGATGAGAGAGATGGCTGCAGAGGTGAAGGAGCTGAGAAAACAAGTACCTGATCTTGTGTCTAAGACCTACCTTACATCTAGTACTGAGTGATATTACTTGTACAGGGAGATGAGGGAGAAGATGGCTGAAGAGGTGAAGGAGCTGAGGAGACAAGTACCTGATTTTAACTTCAACGGCCTCAAGTACTGAGTGAAATTACTTGTACAGGGAGATGAGGGAGAAGATGGCTGAAGAGGTGAAGGAGCTGAGAACACAAGTACCTGATCTTGTGTCTAAGACCAACCTTACATCTAGTACTGAGTGATATTACTTGTACAGGGAGATGAGGGAGAAGATGGCTGAAAAGATGAAGGAGCTGAGGAGACAAGTACCTGATTTTATATCTAAGATCTACATTACATCTAGGACTGAGTGATATTACTTGTACATGGAGATGAGGGAGAAGATGGCTGAAGAGGTGAAGGAGCTGAGGAGACAAGTACCTGATCTTGTGTCTAAGACCTACCTTACATCTAGGACTGAGTGATATTACTTGTACAGGGAGATGAGGGAGAAGATGGCTGAAGAGGTGAAGGAGCTGAGGAGACAAGTACCTGATCTTGTGTCTAAGACCTACCTTACATCTAGTACTGAGTGATATTACTTGTACAGGGAGATGAGGGAGAAGATGGCTGAAGAGGTGAAGGAGCTGAGGAGACAAGTACCTGATTTTATATCTAAGATCTACCTTACATCTAGGACTGAGTGATATTACTTGTACAGGGAGATTTGGGAGAAGATGGCTGAAGAGGTGAAGGAGCTGAGGAGACAAGTACCTGATCTTGTGTCTAAGACCTACCTTACATCTAGGACTGAGTGATATTACTTGTACAGGGAGATGTGGGAGAAGATGGCTGAAGAGGTGAAGGAGCTGAGGAGACAAGTACCTGATCTTGTGTCTAAGACCTACCTTACATCTAGGACTGAGTGATATTACTTGTACAGGGGGATGTGGGAGAAGATGGCTGAAGAGGTGAAGGAGCTGAGGAGACAAGTACCTGATCTTGTGTCTAAGACCTACCTTACATCTAGGACTGAGTGATATTACTTCTACAGGGAGATGAGAGAGATGGCTGCAGAGGTGAAGGAGCTGAGAACACAAGTACCTGATCTTGTGTCTAAGACCTACCTTACATCTAGTACTGAGTGATATTACTTGTACAGGGAGATGAGGGAGAAGATGGCTGAAGAGGTGAAGGAGCTGAGGAGACAAGTACCTGATTTTAACTTCAACGGCCTCAAGTACTGAGTGAAATTACTTGTACAGGGAGATGAGGGAGAAGATGGCTGAAGAGGTGAAGGAGCTGAGAACACAAGTACCTGATCTTGTGTCTAAGACCAACCTTACATCTAGTACTGAGTGATATTACTTGTACAGGGAGATGAGGGAGAAGATGGCTGAAAAGGTGAAGGAGCTGAGGAGACAAGTACCTGATTTTATATCTAAGATCTACATTACATCTAGGACTGAGTGATATTACTTGTACATGGAGATGAGGGAGAAGATGGCTGAAGAGGTGAAGGAGCTGAGGAGACAAGTACCTGATCTTGTGTCTAAGACCTACCTTACATCTAGGACTGAGTGATATTACTTGTACAGGGAGATGAGGGAGAAGATGACTGAAGAGGTGAAGGAGCTGAGGAGACAAGTACCTGATCTTGTGTCTAAGACCTACCTTACATCTAGTACTGAGTGATATTACTTGTACAGGGCGATGAGGAAGAAGATGGCTGAAGAGGTGAAGGAGCTGAGGAGACAAGTACCTGATTTTATATCTAAGATCTACCTTACATCTAGGACTGAGTGATATTACTTGTACAGGGAGATTTGGGAGAAGATGGCTGAAGAGGTGAAGGAGCTGAGGAGACAAGTACCTGATCTTGTGTCTAAGACCTACCTTACATCTAGGACTGAGTGATATTACTTGTACAGGGAGATGTGGGAGAAGATGGCTGAAGAGGTGAAGGAGCTGAGGAGACAAGTACCTGATCTTGTGTCTAAGACCTACCTTACATCTAGGACTGAGTGATATTACTTGTACAGGGAGATGTGGGAGAAGATGGCTGAAGAGGTGAAGGAGCTGAGGAGACAAGTACCTGATCTTGTGTCTAAGACCTACCTTACATCTAGTACTGAGTGATATTACTTGTACAGGGAGATGAGGGAGAAGATGGCTGAAGAGGTGAAGGAGCTGAGGAGACAAGTACCTGATTTTATATCTAAGATCTACCTTACATCTAGTACTGAGTGATATTACTTGTACAGGGAGATGAGGGAGAAGATGGCTGAAGAGGTGAAGGAGCTGAGAACACAAGTACCTGATCTTGTGTCTAAGACCTACCTTACATCTAGTACTGAGTGATATTACTTGTACAGGGAGATGAGGGAGAAGATGGCTGAAGAGGTGAAGGAGCTGAGGAGACAAGTACCTGATTTTATATCTAAGATCTACCTTACATCTAGGACTGAGTGATATTACTTGTACAGGGAGATGAGGGAGAAGATGGCTGAAGAGGTGAAGGAGCTGACAACACAAGTACCTGATCTTGAGTCTAAGACCTACCTTACATGTAGGACTGAGTGATATTACTTGTACAGGGAGATGTGGGAGAAGATGGATGCAGAGGTGAAGGAGCTGAGGAGACAAGTACCTGATCTTGTGTCTAAGACCTACCTTACATCTAGGACTGAGTGATATTACTTGTACAGGGAGATGAGGGAGAAGATGGCTGAAGAGGTGAAGGAGCTGAGGAGACAAGTACCTAATTTTATATCTAAGACCTACCTTACATCTAGGACTGAGTGATATTACTTGTACAGGGAGATTTGGGAGAAGATGGCTGAAGAGGTGAAGGAGCTGAGGAGACAAGTACCTGATCTTGTGTCTAAGACCTACCTTACATCTAGGACTGAGTGATATTACTTGTACAGGGAGATGTGGGAGAAGATGGCTGAAGAGGTGAAGGAGCTGAGGAGACAAGTACCTGATCTTGTGTCTAAGACCTACCTTACATCTAGGACTGAGTGATATTACTTGTACAGGGAGATGTGGGAGAAGATGGCTGAAGAGGTGAAGGAGCTGAGGAGACAAGTACCTGATCTTGTGTCTAAGACCTACCTTACATCTAGGACTGAGTGATATTACTTGTACAGGGAGATGAGGAAGAAGATGGCTGAAGAGGTGAAGGAGCTGAGGAGACAAGTACCTGATCTTGTGTCTAAGACCTACCTTACATCTAGGACTGAGTGATATTACTTGTACAGGGAGATGAGGGAGAAGATGGCTGAAGAGGTGAAGGAGCTGAGGAGACAAGTACCTGATCTTGTGTCTAAGACCTACCTTACATCTAGTACTGAGTGATATTACTTGTACAGGGAGATGAGGGAGAAGATGGCTGAAGAGGTGAAGGAGCTGAGGAGACAAGTACCTGATTTTATATCTAAGATCTACCTTACATCTAGGACTGAGTGATATTACTTGTACAGGGAGATGAGGGAGAAGATGGCTGAAGAGGTGAAGGAGCTGAGAACACAAGTACCTGATCTTGTGTCTAAGACCTACCTTACATCTAGTACTGAGTGATATTACTTGTACAGGGAGATGAGGGAGAAGATGGCTGAAGAGGTGAAGGAGCTGAGGAGACAAGTACCTGATCTTGTACCAAAGTTAGCCATCGTGCAAGTGGGTGGTCGTGAGGATTCTAATGTCTACATTCGGATGAAGATAAAGGCTGCTAATGAAATTGGAATGGAAGCAGATCATGTCAAATTGTCAAAGTCTACAACCCAACATGAGGTAACACAGTTTTCACAAATTAAATCTAAGTAAATTTTAACCTTTTTTGTGTAACATCACATCATATTTTTTGTATAAAAATTAAATTACTTAACCTATAAAATCACAAGTAGAATCTAATGCGCTCCTGCCAGTTTTCTCCTCTTTTTCTGATGGCTAGGTGACTGTTATTGGTGGGATTGCAATGCACCTACTTTCAGCTTATTCTTCACCTTGCCATCCTACGTAAGCTCCAATGAACCAGGATCACTATCCTTTTTCCCAGAATACTTTAATCAGAACCAAAACAATTCTTCGCTTGCAAGAGTAAGGGGCATAAGTACATAGGCTTATTATATTTATTCACGCCCCTCCGTCTTGCAAGCGACAAAATCCTTATCTATTCATTTTTTTATTCAAGTAATATTTATATGGCATACTGTTGGTTGAATTTGTCAACACATTTAAAGAAACCTTACTATTAAAATACGCAAGTTCAATTTTGTGTTTTATTGTCAGCTGTTGACAAGACTCAAGAAACTGAATGATGACCCCAATATCCATGGAATTATTGTTCAAATGCCACTGGACTCAGAAAATAAGATTGATTCCCATCTTGTGACAGATTCTGTTCATCCCAGCAAAGATGTAGATGGGTATGTTTGTTTATTGTTATTTACAAACTTTGGTTTTCATTTAGCAAGCTAAATATATTTAATTTGTCAGTAACAAAGCTGCCCAATACATTACACGCCATTCTACACTCATCCTTCACTCATATTTAAGTTAAAATATACACATAGGTGGCGTCCCCATTTTTATTGATTATGGTAATGATAATAATATTTAAAACATTTAAGATATTACAAAACAATACAACACATGAGCACCATCTGCGTGTCCAGCCAACCTGTAAACTGGAAAACTGGGAATTGTATATGTACATTTTGATGACCAAGAAAAATCTGGAAATTGTTTGTTAATTTTGTAAGGAACCGGATAATTTAAATTCTTGAATAATCGCCTGAAAGAAAACCCCACCCCAAATCACAGATTTTTTTTTTGTTTTTTTTTGCATCGAAAATCGCAATTGCGGGAAACTATGTTGAATTACGGACATTGCCGTGATTGTAAGAAATGATCACAACCTTGGGTGCGATCATATGAGATGGTCATGGCTATTGCCGCATTACTTAGAAATCATCATAAATTTCGTCAAAATTAATTGTAAGATGGTCACAGATGTGGCCGTAATCAAGAAAAATAGCTGCGGGTGTTATTCGCTGGAGATTATTAGAGTTTTAGGGAAACATAGTAAAAGCTTATGATTACCTAGTTTCTTTTTTTGAATTCTAGTCGCATGTGTAGTAACAAAATGTGGATCATTGTTTTTTTTTTACTATCTAGAGTCGTTGGGTTGTTAAAACTAATATTTTTTTATAGACAATAATAGGTTTTACATACCTAGCTGTCAAATAGTCCAACGATTAATATTGCTCATCAGCTTACATGTTTTGTTGTGAAGACAACATTTTCATAGCTTGTTACTCATCATGAACACGATTAAAACACGGACGACACGAACACAAAAAACATTAAAATGGTGCAGTGAGAAAGGAAGGATACACAACTAACTCGCCTGAATAAAGAGTCCCAGGAGGTCAAAAGAACACATAGAAAAATACACATCAAACTGATATTTCGCCCCTTTCAGGGGCTTCTTCAGAGGTAGGAAGTAGAATGGCAGTTACAGTTCTGGCACTGTTTTAAATCTTAAATGTATGACAGGCTTGCCAACGCTTAACGCTAAAACTTATAAACTGTATATAAAATATATATTTACACTATTGATTTTACTCTACTACTGTTGTTAGAAGGTAAGGAATATTTTGGAAGGAATTTGAGTTTATATTATGTTTAAGTTGGGTGGAGCTCGTGAATTTGTAACAAATTGATAGGCCAATTCCCATCTTCCAAGTGTCTTTTTATAGATACCTGCATATACCAACATATACCAAGACACCCCTTACTTATAACCTTAAAAACTATTTTCTATTATTATCAGAATCACACTTATCTACACAAGTTACACAAGTACACAAGTTCTTCAAGTTACACCATTTTACCTGTAGATACTAAAGTAGACATCCCATTTATATGGACCAGCTTTTCTATTTTTTATTAAATAAGAACAGTTCTGTAAGCCAGTCACAGATTGTGCTAGTGTCTAAAATTCTATTTCATAATTCATTTGTACTAATGTGGAGAACGTATTGTTTTTGTCAAAATTTGCAGGGTTGAATTTTGGGTGGATATATCCTTTTTGGGTCCCCCTGAACCCAAAAAGTGGTAGAAGTGATGTGTATATGTGATTGTGCTTTGTGATTTGTGAAGAGCTATAGACCACACCTGTGGTCTGATTTTGATGAAATTTTGTGTGCAAGTACTAATCCAAGGTATCTACAGGATTTCTTTTTTAAATTTAAATTTTGATTTTTAATGGTGATTGTAGCATAAAATAATGGAAAATCGGATTTAAAAAATACGGCTAGACTGGTTTTGTTTGATAATAAATGAGTGTGTGGTATTCTTTTTAACTATAAACAAAATGGTCCAACTTTATATTGCTGTAAAAATAACGGTTTAAAAGAAATAGCAACTTTTGTGATTCCCCTCATGAAAATTGTATTTACTCCCACTGCTTACCCACAATAAGGACTGTTGTCAAGAGAGGAAAGTGTCAGATTGCTTATACCTTTCATTTGTTGAGTTGATGTAAAAGATTCTATAGCTTGCAATAAGTCATAATATAAGTTTGACTTGGTTAAAAAGTCTGAATATTTAACAAAATCAGTCATTTACAATTAACATCTGCACAATCTGTCAGTGGCTCATTTGAACTACGCCCATTTTGTCTGGCGTTAACTTGAAAATGGTGATAAAATGTCTAGTTCTGTCAATAGTCAAAGGTGTCGATCAAGAATGTCAGATTTTTGCTCTCTAGTTTACTTTAGGTCAAGTAATAGTGTTTGACTGAATATCCTATACTATACTATAGGATATTCAGTAGTTGTCCTAAATAATTGTCCCTACTCCTTTATAGGCTAAACACCATCAATGAAGGCAAAGTGGCTGTTGGGGATCTCACTGGGTTTATCCCCTGTACTCCTAACGGTGTCATTGAACTGATAAAAAGGTAGGATTTATTATTATTTACAACTTACAACAATAGTAGCATAGACAAAAGGAATTAAATATAGGCTGTCAGCCGTGCTGCGGTTACCATAGGTTCTTGCGCATACCGCTGGGAGCGCCGTGGAGTTACGTACGCCCAATGGTGTGCCAGAACCTATGGTAACCGCAGCACAGCTGACGGTCTATATTTAATTCTTTTTGTCTATGATAGTTGGTACCTAAATTTAGTTTATCGTAGCAAATTTATCATGCTTAGAGATTTTTTATCAGAGTTAGAATATAAAAATTATTCATAAATTTAAAATTTGACCAGTCTTAAGGCTGTATTATGTTTGATGTTGGGTTATTTTCTCTTGGTTATTGAACAAATCTTCCATGGTTGACTATGCATCCATGCTTGTTAGAGACTGCCTGATTACCTTGAGTGGTACAGAGAGCCTGGAAGATTGGGAATATGACAGCTATCCCGATTATTAAACACAGTACAACATCATTATGTCGGCCCCTCTTAAGTTGGATCTATGGCATAACCCGGACCAGTTTGCAATAGATAACATAAATATAAATGAATTAATATAAAATATGAATTTTTGTAACATTATTACAAGCACATAATTGATCAGTGATCATGTTCTGCTGTTTTTTAGCTAATAAATTATTGCTAGTAAGTATATTTCAATTTTGTTGTCTACCCTTTCTTCAGCCAGCACAGATTTTGGTTATGGTCGATTTGACTTAACTTGGTTGTATAATATTGTTTAAAGCTATTCAAAGCCAATTTCACCTTTTTTCATTCAAGTCCCCTCTGTGTCTACTATTGGTAGCCACTCCAATTAAGACTGTTTTAGGATATTCTTATGTAGTTTAGGAGAGACCTAACAATTTATACTATACGCTACCTAAAATCTTACTATAGTTCGGCCGCTTAGAAAACGACCTGCGCGCTAATGCTAAACCAATGCTGGAGGAGGTCGCTTTCTAAGCGGCCGAACTATAGTATTATAAATGTGAAAGTTTGTGTGTTTGTTTGTTTGTTTGAAGTTCAATCACGCAATAACTACTGGACGGATTGGGCTGAAATTTGGCATGATGATAGCTAACATTCCCAATTAACATATAGGCCTATTCTTATCTCAAAATTCCTTTTGGGCTCCGCCCCAGTGGCTCTGCAGTTCCCCATGTTAACCTTATGAGTATTCATATTCAAAAGGAATTAAAGAATTTAGTCAGCTGTTTCAACTTAACAAGTTCGTTCTATAATATGCAATAGCATTAAAAAGTTATAAGGTTTCCCAACAGGGTGTAGTACTATTATTATTTTGTTTTTGCATAAATAGAAACAGCTAATTTGAACCAAGCAGCAACAAAAAGCTGTGATACACAATGAGAACTGTCAAAGTAGGATTGTTTGCAGTTATTTTTTGTTTTTAATTTAATGAATAACTAGTAAACACGTTGCTCGAAATCGAGCAACTGCAAAGAAGTAAAGTAGTTATTTAAAAACAAATAAATGTCATCATAATTTCCGATGAGTTTAAAAGACTTTGAAATGAAAAATAACAGCAATTAAAATATACAGCTGATTAAAATGTAAACAATCATGTTCTTCATAAGGATAACATGGGAACTTTAACAGCCACTGGGGCAGAGCCCAAGGGACTTTAAAAAAAATGTAAGGTCAGTTTGCAAATCTACGCGACACGCTCTTTCCAATGAGACGTCAATGGATAAAATCGGTTAAGAAATGGCGGAGGAGTTCAACCGACAAAGTTTCATGTAGCGTATTAATTATATAGATTTGTGATATTGTGTGAATGTTTGATAATTTATTTTTTCTATTGTTTAGGTGCAGTGGTAGAACAATATGGCTATGGTAGATGTGTTATACTATACTATATCATACTGTAAATTTAAAGAACCAAATTTTATCAAACTGTGTCCTCCCCCATTGCAAACGCAACGCTTGAGTATAACTGCAATAAGTATTTTCTACTTATATGCCAACCCCGTACGAAGGACGGGTACTCTGCTAGTACTTAATATTTTTCAACTCAAAGATATTTAAAAAGAATCTGATTGCTTTGTCAATTTTGAGTTAGACAGCTGTCAACGCTTGAATTGATGTTTCAGGAGTTCAATACCAATCAGTGGCAGCAATGCTGTGGTGCTGGGACGCAGCAAGATCGTAGGAACCCCGGTGTCTGAGCTGCTCAAGTGGCATCACGCCACGGTCACCATCTGTCACTCCAAGACTAGGGACATTGCAGACAAGGTACTGCTACAGATAATAGTCTCTACGACATAAGCAATAATTATTATAGCCTTTTGTAGGGTAATGGTCCAAACTCTGATGACTATCTAACGTCAACCTCTTGTTAGATAGCGTCATTAATCGTTAGACCGATGACAAACTCCATCTGAGGCTAGAAATTATCTCTCTCAGAATCGAACCAGTGACCTTCAGATTTGAACACATGTCTTTACTCCGAACATTGTTTTATTGGATTTTATTTTTGCGTATTTAATATTACCGGTATATAAAATATATCTTCCTATATGGTTCAATATATTTTCACTACATGTCCCGTGAAATAATAGTAGAAATACATTTTCAAACACAATTTGTCAAATTACTTTTTTTTACATTTGTGCGTTATTGTTAAACAGTATTATTAGGGTGTTTTTGATCCCTCTATAACTTGCTGTTTGGTTTGTGCAGGTGAGACAAGCTGATATTCTAGTGGTTGGCATCGGATCTCCACAGTTTGTCAAGGGAGATTGGATCAAGCCTGGAGCTGTGGTTATTGACTGTGGCATTAACTCTATCCCAGGTAAAATATTTGGTTTTTCATTACCTTTATCAGTTCCAAAAGTAACCTTCGTCAAGGTGTTACATGTTTTGCTGAGCTGCCATTGTCAAACACTTCATTACAGGAATATGTAGATCCCCTTGAATAGCTTCGTTCTCAATAGAGATGGGCGTTATTTAACATGACAGGATGAATAACAATGTTGCGGCCGCGGCAACGTTATCGCAGCAACACGTTGCGGAGAACTCCCTGTTATTATAATAACGTATCTATCTACACCATGTTGCAGGAAAGCCATAGAACACAACAGAAGACAACGAAAACGAAAACATGCATTGCCGTTAGTGCGGTTGCCGCAACGCTACCAGAGCAACGATAACTTCGGAAACTAACTAGAATTAGAAAACGCATCCTGTCTGAGTGTCTGGACAACGCCTGACTCCCGACTACAACTGAAAACTGAACTGATCAACCAACAACGATAACTGAACGCCGCAACACGGACTGGCGGACAACGGTTTTTAGCGGCAACGAGTTGGCAATCGTTATTAAAATAACAGGTTGCCGCAGCTGCGTTATCGTTACAACCGTTGCCGGAAAACAACGATAATTCCCATCTCTATTTCTCATAACACATTACACGACAAACAACATTTTACCGACGACACATACGACATAAAAATAAATACTTTAGTTTGATAGGCCTATATCACGAGTATACAACATTGCCAGTACACGAGCGGAAACAGACTACGAAGTGCTGTGACAATGGCAGCTCGCCGAAACATGTAACACGTTGACGAAGGTTACTTTTGGAACTGATAAAGGTAATGTAAAACCAAATATTTTATATATTACAGTTCCGGGACTACAACAATGAATTTTAATCTATCCCAGGTACTTAAAATATTTGGTATGTTAACTCATTACATAATCAGGAGTGGCACAATAATGATGCCCAAATTTATATTTGTTTGTTGTATAACTGTTGTATTTGGCTTTATTTAGTTGTGATTGATAAAAAATAAAATCCAATTAATTATATTTAAAATATAAAAAAATACTACACATTTTTTAAAATCCATTTTTGGCTGGGTACATCAGACCAGTGCCAGGTAGTGTTTGTCCTATGCTCATATTATAATCATTACATCTGACACTTTTATACAGATGCTTCCAAGAAGTCAGGATCTCGCCTGGTAGGTGATGTTGACTATGATGCGGCCAGTCGTGTGGCTGGGTACATCACACCAGTGCCAGGTGGGGTCGGCCCTATGACTGTGGCTATGCTGATGAACAACGTGCTGCAGTCAGCCAAGCGTGTGGCTCAACAGCGACTCAGCAACAGATGGCAGATCAGTCATCTGCCTCTCCCACTTAACCGAGCTGACCCTACTGTAGTACCCAGGTAATATGACCAATACCTTCAATATCCAAAGTGTGAAAGATAATAGGAGTAATTTTTTAGGGGTGACATATAAATGCAACCATCCCACTAAGCAACAAATCATCATACAATGTATAATGTTCAAATTACTACACTGTGTAGATGTTCATTTTATCTCACCAAGTACGAGTGGTGAACCACAAGTAATGGAATTGGGCTGTAAAGTTAAGGGAAAGTGGGGAACCTTTTGTTCACCTTGGTCAAAATGTAGTGTGGTAATGCTGCTGCTGCATGGTGCGTAAAAAAACCTGATCTATTTCATGCAGCGTACTGTTCAGCAACAGGTCGTCTGAGAGTGGCTCGTTGGAAAGCCTACACGATGCTATTATCTGTGGTCATAGAGCAGTGGTCACCTGAGCAACGTGCGGTTGTTATCGAGTCAAATTAAAAAGTAATGATTCAGTTATTGCAACTCAGCCGCAGTTCGCTGTATTTTTTTTTTTTTTTTGTGATGACGTCGATTCCGTCAAGTGGCACATTCATGTAGTGGGTTACGAACTTTAGAACAACGGCTTCTGCGTTCAAAAAGAATCTGTCTAGCCATCCAAAGTCAGATTAAACGTCAGACAGCTAACATTTGATAGAGTCCGTGCTGCTGTGGAAAACAGTCCTCGCTTGAAAACAAACATCTGCTTTGAACATGTCTGACCGCTCGGTTAAACTAGTTTTGAGGTTCAATCTTAATTCTTATCCCTTCTGATGAACATGTATTAATCTGTCCAAATTTTTTTTTATCCATACAGATAATCACACTGGAACCTCTCCATGTCGACCTAATTTTGTATGGAAATGCCGCATAGTTGCAATGACTGAATCATTACATTTTTTATTTGACTCGATAACAAACGCATGATGCTCAGGTGACAACTGCTCTATGACCACAGATAATGGCATCGTATAGGCTTTCCAACAAGCCTAACCCCATCACCCTCAGACGACCTGTCGATGAACACTGCGCTGTGAAAAATAGATCGGTTTTTTGCCGCACCCTGTACAATGGTTGGCCTGTAAAAATTATGTTATTAAACTTATTTATATTAAAAAAGTTCATAACCTACCAAAATCTTAGCTTTTATCTGTGTACTAATACTAATGTGTTGTATCATATGTTGTCAAGGAACATTATGTAGGTAAACTCTCTCATCTGGGTGAATCTCAATATAGATGGTTGTGTAAAGATGAAGAAGCCTATATCTTCACATCACACTCGTGAATAAAAATGTGTTGTTAAAGTGTAATTATAACATTAATATACGTCTGTTTGTAATGTATAATATTAAACCAAATAAATTTAATCTTTGTTTAGAAAAAAATATCAAATAAATTTACACATATTGTTTGTCTGAAAAAAATAAAATATATAATCCTATCTTAATCTTTACATTATATTAAATTAAAATATGGTAGAACCACAATAATTTGGCCGTTGCTAGTTTGGACCATCCTGTAATCCAGCTCGATCCTATTACACATTACATTAATTACCTAATATCTGATTATTGCCCTTGAAATAAACCTCTAAATATGGTGTTATTCTAATCTTATCTTAGTTTAAACAATAATAATTACGAGGACAGAGGTTTTAAAGCACAAGGTTTAATGGTGCATAAATTGTTAAAATAAGGTTACAAAATTCTTCAGGGGTGGGGATTTGTGAAGACTGAATCAAAAGATTTTGTTGATGCCTAATTTAAAATTTCAATAAGTACGTTAAGTTATAAATTAAATAATCTTTTAGAAACAATAAATAGGAAGGATTTTGATTTTGATGAATGGAGGCAAGTTGGGTCCAAATGGATGCTTGAGGAGTTTATAGTCTGAGTTAATAATTTAATAAATGGAATTTTCTCACCAATCTTCTGTAATAATAATTTTCTTCTGAATAATGTAGGCCTAAATTCTTCTTATCTTCAGTTAATTTGGATATTTTGACAATAATTTATTTCATAATTTCACAATTTATTTCACAACTAATAGTTTCTGTATGTTCTTCTTGGATACCTTAACTGCACTGTCACTGTTCATTGTTGTAAATCATTTCTTAAAAAATGGGGTTCCCATATTTAAAAACATGGTTGAATTTTGCTTGTAATCTTGAACTCAGATGTATGTTATTTTAATTGTAGGAATTGTTTGGAAAAATAATTTTGAATAAGCCAATGAATAAATTTTGATTATAAATTATATATATGTTGAGACAATATGGTTTTACTAATATTAACAATGAATATGAATAAATATTAAAATATAACAAGATTTATAGTTCGGCAGCTTAGAAAACGACCTGCGCGCTAATGCTAAACCAATGCTGGAGGAGGTCGCTTTCTAAGCGGCCGACCTATAGTTTGGAATTTAATTAGGCCTAATGACTATATTTGTAAACATTGGTTTTTGAGTCATTACACCCTGTAGTTACATTAATCAATAAGAATAAGAAATTTCTTTTCAATCACGTGCCACGCCAAACTGCACTGCTACTACAGTGCTGACAAGCGGCAACGGAAGGGAAACAAAATTAAAATACAGAACTCACATACATACGTGTATTCTCCACCCTATCATCAAAAAGTTCACCGCTCCTAGGCAGGATTATATATTGTTATTAATATTTACTGTTAATCTTTTGCAAGAACTTTGGCTGGCTCAAATTCACTAATGCTAACTCTTATTCACTAATTCAAATAGTCTCTTGATGGTCCAGCCTACTGGCTACCCTGTTTAAAAGCCAGGTTATCGAGGTTCTACTGTGTATTTAAATACATACATTTACAAGGGTATACCTTGCATCTTTGTATACACACTACTTAACTAAATCCTGAACTTATTTGTGTGGACATGTAAACAAATTGTAAATGTTATTACAATATACTTTTATAAGTAAATCTACATATATAAAACCCAATGTATGTTTGTTGTTTGTTTGTCCTTTATGCGTTACCAAACCAGCCATCCAATTGTGATGAAACTTTGGGAAGTTGTTATATACACCCCCAAGAAGGTTAGTGTGAAATAACATTTTAGAAAACTCCTCAGGGCTCTGCCCTAGTGGTCTTTAAAGTTCCCATGTTATCCTTATGGAGAATAGATTTGTTTAAATTTAAAATGATGAATGCTTGAATCTAAACTATCAAGGGGGGAACCAGAGAACAGCTGGTTAATCAAACTATACAACCATGTTTAGTTAGCTTCTTATTGTATTATTGTTATTATTTGTTTATTATTGTATGGTTAGCTTATTTTAAGATTGTGTCATTGATTTGAGAAATAAGTAATACTAGGTGAAACCTGTTTATTTCAACGGTTACTGATGAGGTTTCAAGCAAAATCATTTAACTATCAAAATTATGAAAATCGGTAAGGTAGAAGAGCCAAACAAACTTGGAAAATTAAAACCAAATTTAACTCCCATAAGAAATGTACAGGGAGGAAGTTGCTTTTGTGCATGACTCGAAAGATCCGTCAAATAAATGAATGCCGATGCTTGGTGGCAAATATGTGTGCGCATACCTTTAATTATTTAGGACCAAAAAAAACAACCCTCCACGATTAAGTAATTGCACATGAATAATAGTGAAGAAACTGATGACCAATGTAATAATGACCAATGTAATAAAAGCGACAATTTTATTTGACAAATTAAAGGGAGAAGAAGTTCTCCTGTCAAATATTCCAACAATCCCTACAGATATGCCATTTGAATTCAAACGTTTTATGTTAAATGTTAACGTTGACGTTCAAACGTTTCCTGTGCGTTTCTCATTTGCAATAATTGTAAACAAATCTCAAGGGCAATCACTAAAATTAAATATTAATATTTTTAACATTGGCTTTACGGGTTGCCAAGTTGCCATGCTGGTTTTACAAAAATGTAAACTAAAGAATTATAACATATTGTGTGTTGTATGGCATAATGACAAACCAACTACAGTATACTTTACTATCAAATAGCAAAATAAAAGGACATTCAGATGAATATCATCTATCAAATAATAAATTCAAGAGTATTAGCTACTGAGTAATAGATAAATATGATTGTTCAAAAACGAAGAGTCTCTTACCGCTAAATATTATAGTCTTCATTAAAATTGAACTAAAAGTCGTGTATGTTTTGTAGTTTTCATTGGCACATTGTATTGTTCCACAATTCCATTGTTGCGATGTTCTGCGATCCCAGTGACTAACACGTCGCAATAATAATGCAATCAACAGATGTTATGTATGTTTAGTTTGCTGTTGAGTGTTGAGCTTTATTGTAGAAATGTTCAATATAAATTGGTCATCCTTATCAAAATGTTTGTCAAATTAAGAATCGTCGTCCATTGAATAAAATTTGGCTTTCTTACCTCAAACATAAAAAAAAACTGAAAATGATAATGATCTACCTACAGGTAAAACCAATAAATTATATTTTTGAAGTTGGAGATTTAACTAGAGTTCCAAATTAGTAATTTTAGGTGGTTTTGTTTAGACAAATTATAAATGTACTACAGTATAAAAACTAATCATTTGACACTCTTTTAAATTAATTGTTGTATTGTATTTCTTTTTCAAATGGATTTTTTGATTTCATGAAATTCGTTTCAACGCGATATGTTGCAGCAGCTTATTAATAATCTGGACGTATAGATTTTGATTTTAGTAAGGTGCTGAGGTGTTGAGTTTGTTCATCAGACATTTTCAAAGACTTAAACTTACAGCTGAACTGGTTTCCTTCTTCATAGGATTTGTTATGGGTGATGGATTGATCACATATAAAAATTTCATATTGGTTCTGTGAGACAGTAGGATTATGATCAGGATTTGGAGTTGTACTTTTAGTCATGTACTTATAACTAACTTTACTAGCTGATAAGTGTATTATTATATTCACCTTTAGGCCACAACAAAAATATAGTCACTTACAAAAACAGATTCTTTGCTTCCTAGTACATTAGACAGGGAATTATTCATTTAGATATTAATCTGTTTCAGTGATATTGAAATTGCTCATGCTCAAGAGCCAAAGGATATATCATATCTTGGTCAAGAACTGGGCCTCACTCCAACTGAGATCATTCCATATGGCAGTACAAAAGCCAAGGTTTCCCTTAGTGTTCTTGATCGGCTTAGAAATACAAAAAATGGAAAATATGTTGTCGTGGCTGGGTAAGTTTATTTAATGATGTATACACTAAGTTTCTGAAAGTATGTTTTATATTGATACTGCATTTTAATAATTTCAATAGCCCAAGTTTTTATTGTGGTTCAGAATATAAAAGGAGATCCTTCATTTGCATCAGTTAACTATTACTTTCTTACTTTTCAGGTGCTGGTAATTCAACTTCATAAAGCATAATCAACCACAAGACCTTTATAAAAACAAAAACACTAACACTTTTTTGCTTGTCAATTTAACTATGATGACTATCTCATGTTTTTTATGTTAGACTGCAAAAAACAACAAAATTCAATAGACTTTTGTCTAGCATATTTGAGTTACTTGAAGTTTTATGGTTTAATCAACATAAATCTTATTAACGGCTCTCTTATCCGTAAAAATCCTGAAGTAGCTGTTTCAGTGAACATACATTAAACATGGTTTTTCTAGGATAACTCCAACCCCTCTTGGTGAAGGAAAAAGCACTACCACAGTAGGGCTGGCTCAAGCTCTTTCAGCTCACAAACACAAGAACACTTTTGCCTGTGTTCGCCAACCCTCCATGGGCCCTACCTTTGGTATTAAAGGTGTGTGTAACAAAGTTTACAGTAATGTAACTTGTGTAAATTAAAGCTTTAAAATTCTTTTAAAACTTGTATGAGTTTGTTTAAGTCTAATTACGGAAGATGCTTACACTACTTTACCTATATTCAAATATGTATGGAAACAGTTTATCAACAAAATTAAAGTATCTCTTAATTATTATTATTATTATCAGTGAAGGGTTTGCTTACTTATTTTTGCTCAATGTTTCTTTGATTTAGGTGGTAAAAGATTATTACAAACGGTTTGAGCCCTTACCCATATGTTGTCTATTTTACTATAATTTAACTGATATTTTCTAAATCTTAAAATAAACCATCCTGTAACTGTTGGTTAGCAAATCGTTTGATTCAATTTTTAGGTTAAGGAAAGAATGTGTGTGTTTCCAGTGGAAGTCGGCAGATTCTCTTTTTATCGCAATCCAGTAGTGCAGTAAAGTAAGTAAACAATGCCGCAAAGTGAATCTTCTCTATTCTAAAAAATTTTAAATTTTATTAAAATGGCTTATTTAAAAAACTGTTGTAGGTAGGACCTATAGTAAATTAAAGTTTATAGATATATAATTTCAAGCTCCTATGCAGGGTGTCCACCAGGCCAACCAGAAAAAATTCATGAGTAATTCATGAGTAAAAAAAAAAGCCAGGTAGTTCCGGTCGTATTTTTTAAACTAAAATTTCCAACGTGTTTTGAGCCAACTCCCGCAATGCTGTTTTAGCGCTAACACAGCTCACTATTTTAGTTATCGGAAAGAGCATTCTCAGGTAAAGAAACAATATTTATGATTGCTGTAATGTTGCCTAACACAAGTATTCAATTTTATATATTACTGATTAAATAATCCGAAAATTAAAAAATAATCCTTAAACCGTGCTCGTTACAAAATCTTGATATTGTTCAGCGGTAACGGAAACAATATAATCGTCTCCCGCGATCACAGTAAAGTTATCATCATCTTTCTCGAACGTAGCTTAATTCAAATAATTTCCCGCGGTCATCATCGTCAAAGCAATATTTTTTGGACATCATCATCGTTTCCTGCGGTCACGGAAACGTCATCGTCCGCATGCGTGATCGCGGCAAAATCACTAACATATCCAGCGGCCATTTGGACATCATCATCATATCACGCGGTCACGGAAATGTCATCGTCGTCTCCCACGGTCACGAAAACGTCATGGTCGTCTAAATCACTAACAAATCCCACGGCAGTTTGGACATCATCATCTCCCGCGGTCACGGAAACATCATTGTCTGCAACCACGATCACGGAAACGTCATCGTCATCTCCCGTAGTCACGGAAACGTCATTGTCTGCACCCGCGGTCACGAAAACGTCATCGTCGTATCCCGCAGTCACGGAAACGCCATCTTCATGTGCGATCGCGGCAAATTGAAAATTCCCGGTAATAAATCATGCATAATTCCCGGTTTTCCCGGTCGGTGGACACCCTGTAGGATATGATCATGGCTTGTCAGGAGTCAAAACACGAGTCGTCAACTACAAGTAGGCTACAAGTCACAACTGTGACGAAACACTATAAATGAACATTATGTCAAACAAGCTTTTGTGGCCGATCACAAATACATAAGTTCCTAAGATTTGAATTTTACCTCTACACTTATGTTTTACATCAGCTGTAAGAGCAGATAGGGAAGTGATTAGTGGTGGCTAGCCAATGAGTAAGTAGCATTGCCAATATAAATGTCAGGGAGTAAGGGGATAGGGACAATGATCTTCATTGGATTATCAGACAAGCAGTGTTTGGCCTTATTTTAACACCGTTTTGTGCTTTGATGACAGGGTTTAGGCACATTGATCTTGTTAAACTTCAGTTTTCATACATAAATTTTTCAACAAATTCAAATCATATTTGTATCCCAAATTGTATTCAGACCACTACATTGTTTCAACACTGTTTGTGTAGGCTGATAAAAGTCAATACCTGTACAAATACAACACCTAAAGAGTATTGATATTTGACAGGTGGTGCGGCCGGAGGTGGCTACTCACAGGTGATCCCCATGGAAGAGTTCAACCTACATCTGACAGGGGATATCCATGCCATCACAGCAGCCAACAACCTGCTGGCAGCACAGCTGGACACTCGCATCCTGCATGAGGACACCCAGAGTGACTCTGCCCTGTATGACAGACTTGTACCTAAGGTACATCTCATAGCTGTAGCCGAGAGAGTTCTCTGTCGTCAATGATTGATTTCTGAAGCATACGCCAAATTTGTAGCCAACCTCAACTGAAAGGGTTAACAATAACATCTTTTCTGTTGCATCAACTATCATTTTAGCGAATTTCCCGTATAGGGAACAAGCTATTACCGTAGGTCTCATGGTAAGACCTAGACCCGGGACCGATTTACTTTTTCGTTTTGAGGTTACCAGAGGCCAAAAACACCATCCGTTCAAATTCATATATATATATATATATATATTTATATATACAGTATATATATATATATTTATATATGTGTCCGTTAGCGCGATAACTCGAGCAAAATTGATCCGATTTTGATGAAATTTGGTACAAACGTGTAAACCTACATTTATTCGAACGAGTTCGCGAACCAGCATAATCGGACCATGGGATCAGGGGTTTATGGGGGGTTTTATGGGGTAAAAATGGGTTTTTCTCATTTTTGACCCTAAAAACTTTTAATTTCTAAATTTCTCTCTAAACCATTTTGAAGAGCTTAAAAAAACAAATAATTTAGTATATTGAAGTTTTTTTGAATGTTCATTGACTACGGAGAAAATTAAAGAAATTGTAAATTTAAAATTCCCATGTTATTCTTATGCAGAATAAATAAACTGTTCTAGTTTGCTTGTTTATGGATATATTTCAATCAAATTTGGCAATTTTGCTTATTTCATACTAAGCTATCAATATTTCAATTGAAAAAACACACCTCAACATCTTTCCCGTAGCAGCAAACCTAACTACTCACTAAAATTAATGTTATTTAATTTAAATAGGAAATAAATCTGAAAATTTATAGGGAATATTTTAGTAGAAATCAAGCCGGGTGAATGGAAATTCGCTTAGTATGCAGGTTTGCTGCGACGGGGGTATTTATAACTGATGGGAGAAGATAAAATTTGTACAGAAGCTCCACTGTGTGAGTGGTTCATTCATTTTTAGAATAAATAAAGTCTACAGCGCTGAACCATCTAGATGATATGTCTGCCTTGGTATCTAAGAATCATTGGTAAAATTCTGCAACTAGTTACAACTCTATGACTGTAGGCCTATGGTTCTGAACATTTGGAAAGCATAAATTGGCATTCCTGATAATACTTAACCATTTAGCCAGACTTTCTGTGTGGACGAATCCAGCTTGGGTGCAATTAATTCTTGGAAATTCAAGTTGGCAGAGGTCTTAGATCAGTCACATAACTTCTAAAGATAATGAGTCATCTTCAGAACAATTAACTGTTCTAAAGTATTATCACATGCGCTAGCTAATGCTTTTAATGACTACAAATATGTTTATGCAAAACATTCAAATTTTTTATTAGATTTAGAGTAATTGGTACTAAAAATTCACGAGTAATGGTTCACTTGGCCATAGATATTTAGAACACAACGAATTCCAAATAAAAATAAAAACATCGTGAGGTTACAGGTGGTTCACGGTTAGTAACTAGTACCAGTACCTTAGTACATACAAGTAACATTACCTAGTAGTGATTACCATAATTTATCATACCGTCACTTAGTGATGTATCACTTTATCATTAGTAAGTAGTGATTACTTTAGTAAGATACATTACCTTAGTATAAACAAACACTAAACAGTAATGCTCCAATAACTTATTATTTTTACACTGTGGATGCACTAAATTTTGTGTGTAATGTTAGCAAAGTAGCTAATTCAAGTTTAAAAACAATTTTACTTGAAGTTGAATCTGTTATATCTGAAGAGTGTATATATGTTGTTAAGGTGAAGGGCAAGAGAATGTTTTCGGCTATACAAGTGCGGAGACTGCAGCGACTCGGCATCAGTAAGACTGACCCCGAGGATCTCACTGACCAAGAGAGGAGAGCCTTTGCCAGACTAGACATAGACCCAGCTACCATCTCTTGGACCAGAGGTACAACTTTGTTAGTCCTGTCTATATTATTTAAAGAGACTAAATTAAATATTTTTTTTTTTTTGTTAAATGTATAATTTTTTTAGGGACTTACAGAAGTCTTTCATCTGGCAAAGCAATAATTTATATCTAATTCAGTTGAAATACCTGTATAAATGTGTGATTCAAGTTTAATTCCATGATTAGTGTACAGACAACAGACACTCTGTGTTTTCAGTGATTTTTTTTAGAAATTAGGATGAGCACTCTAATCAGCCAATTCAGTAAAACCTCGTTAATCTGACCTCGGTTACTCCGACTTAACTACTACTCTCACTTAATTTGACCCAATGTTATTACAATAATACTGTGACTATTTCTCATGGTTTTGTAGACATCATCTCCATCTCCCCCCACGACGCCAAAAATATTTTTATCCTCCGCGATCATGGAACATCATCATCCTTTTCCGTTACTATGGCAAAACATTGAACGTCTCGTGGTGACCGGAACATTACCTTCGTCTTCAGGGATCACGTCAAAATCCTGAGTATTTCTTGTAGTACCTAATGGAAAAATTATTATAGTCTACCATGATCACAGAAAGTCCTAGACAAAACCAGCGGTGATTGAAAAATACATCACCGCCTTGGGCGATAGTAGATATCAACATCTCCCAAACCCGCGGGGACATTATTGTCGTCACAATCACATCATTCACAGAAACAATATTGTTGTTATCTACGATAATGGCAGACTCATCTTCCGTAATTGTGGCAAAATATTGATCGTCTCATGGGAACATTATCATCTTCCGCATTTGCAAAAAAATCCTAAATATCTTCTAACAACATTAACAAACAAATCATGCTACTCCTCGGATAATTCAACCTTTTCACTTCTCCACCCATGGTTCTGGTCCCACATATGATGTGACCCATTAGTGGGGTTGTACTGCATTGTTAAAATGTTATCCCTGTCAAAGAAATTTGAGAAGTAAGTTGAACTCATGATGTATAAAATCTATTGACTAGTCGACTCATGTGGATAATTAGGTGAGTGCTTATTTAAGCATTTGAAAAGTCTGTTTCATTCAGTCTGATTGCAATCATGTAATGAGTCAATTTTATGGTTGACTCAATAGTGCTAATTCTTTATGTTTGTATAGCCTAGCTGTATGTTGTTTAAAAAAATTAAATACTGAAATTGTTTGAGTACCACCAGCAGGCGTTTATACTATTTGTAAACTAAACTAACATGTTTTGACAGTGCTGGACGTGAATGATAGATTCTTACGAAAGATCATCATCGGATGCAGTGATACGGAGAAGAACATGAGACGAGAAACAGGTTTTGCTGTGACAGTCGCCAGTGAGATCATGGCTGTGTTGGCATTGGCGAAAGACCTTACAGATATGAAGGAGAGATTGTCCAGTATGGTAGTGGCAATGGATAAGGCTGGCAAACCTGTCACTGCTGACGATTTGGTAAGTATTACATCTATGTTTGCTAACTTTGGGTCTAAAATATGGTCACATTAAATCACAGTATATCCAAATGAATGTGATGTCCTTACACTATATAGCAGCAAATAATATCTTAATCTACTTTTTTTAAGTTTTTTCTTTGTCCTGCCTTCATACACTAGGATTTCAGTTTGGATCGGATTCAGTTCGGATAGTTAAGGCTCGGTTCGGATCGGATCAGATAATTAGAGGTTCGGATTCGGATATTTTCGGATTCGGATATTTTTGGATTCGGATAGTTTGAAGTTCAAGTACCTAATAAATAAATATTAAGGTTGAGAAGTTATAATTTGCATTTTTATATTTTATGTGACCTTGACGAGGTAAGTAAAAAGGTTCCGCGTTTCGGTTTTGAGATTCAAGATTTGATTCTTTTAAGTTTCAGTTTTGGTTTTTTAGATTCGAAAACTTCTGGTTTTGACTTGACCATCACAGCAGACAGATGTGTTAGGAGCAGACTGCTGTCAGTGCAAGCGCATAGCTTGATCTTGAAGCTGCTATCAACCATTATTTCTTTGTTATGCTTCCATTTTATTTTTGTCAAATGAACTGTGCTGTTTCATAAAGGTGGGGGCCTACTGCATATAAATAAATAATGGTCAGAAATAGTTGAATATGAATATACAATGCATTTCAAGTTTAACACATAAGACTAAAGAACCACAAATCATAAAATTTTCTTGGTATTCTTCATAGATAATGAGGTTATTTAACATAATTAAAGAGACATCTATTGACCACCATTGATCCGCTGCCCGTTTGATCCAGGTTCTACTGTACTGTATATTTGACATGTTTTGGCAGGGAATGACTGGAGCCCTCGCAGTGCTACTGAAGGACTCTATCCAGCCAACACTAATGCAGACGTTGGAAGGATCTCCAGTGTTTGTCCATGCTGGACCCTTCGCCAACATAGCTCATGGCTGCTCCTCCATCGTAGCTGATGCTCTCGCTCTAAAACTCACTGGCCCTGACGGTTATGTTGTCACTGAGGCTGGCTTTGGCTCTGACATGGGTTTGTTCAATTTCTTAACAGTTTACATTAGATAGTCAAGTAAAATCTCCTCTATCCTACTTGCTTATTGGTAAGAGCAATCATACAGTATTATTATTACTTTCCAATTAATTGTTATTTGTAATGATTAGAGAATTAATTAGGAAAATGAGAAATGAGAAGAATGTTGGCACAATAGACAATAAAACCAACACTGGAGGGTAATAGATCAAATGTTTATACAATTTTATTTTCATTCTATTTTGTCTTCATCCTAAGGGTTACTCAAATGTTTAAATGCTACATTAAATATTTTAATTTTTTCCAAGGTGTTAAAGTCTAGAAAGCAAAGTATTGTTAATTAACCAAAACTTATTTTGTACAACAGGTATGGAGAAGTTTTTCAACATTAAATGCCGCTCGTCTGGGATAGTTCCCGATGCTGTGGTGTTGGTGGCTACAGTGAGAGCTCTGAAGATGCATGGAGGAGGACCCAAGGTTATACCTGGTCGCCCCTTGGACAAGGCTTACACTGAGGTAATACCAGGTTAACCAAGAGAACTGGGTCTAATCTTCTGTGTGTATCCCATTATAAGAGATAAGCTACGTTCACACAAAGCCAGTTGGCGGACAGGTTCCTTGCATCAAATAAATAACCTAAAATACACTAGAGGCAGGTAAACACTCTACTGGCAGAGGCGTCACGTGACCCTTAGATTTGTATGTTGGGGGGCATTACCCTCCAGCTCCCCACCCCCCCCCCCCCTCCCCCACTGGGTGTGAGGCCTATGGGCCAATGAGGCTCTACTGGCTTCACATAAATGTGGCTTAAGGATTTTTACAATCGGTTAGTTTCTTAAAAGGTATTTAAGTGAATAGGACAAAAAATTGGGTTTGTTCACTAGCATTTACTGAACAGGAATTTATGTTTTGTAAACCATTATATATATATGTATATTTACTGCTTCAAAAGAGTGTGTTAGTAAAAAGTTTATTATCCATATTTTAAACATGTATTGTTATTCTAGGAAAATCTTGAACTCCTGAAGAAGGGTGTTGCAAATCTAGCAAAGCATATAGAAAATGGAAAGAAATTTGGGTTACCAGTGGTGGTTGCTATCAACAGCTTTGCGTAAGTTGTCTATTAGGTATTCAGTAGACAGTAATAGAATGATTCAAACGTTTTCTTGGTCCAAAAATTCACGCCAGATTTACAAAATAATGTTTCCTTGTTTATGATAAAAATGTCAGTAAATATTTTCAAACAAAGTTAAGTAGTATCAAAAGAATTGATTTTAATTAAATTTTAGTAAATGTTTTCAATCAATGTTAAGTAGCATCAAAAGAATTAATTATAATTAAATTTTTGATTAGTAATTTGTAAACACTTGTACACTCAAATTTATAACGAGCCATCATTAAGTATACTAGACAAAAAAACTTTATTGAAAAAAAATTTCTTTAAAGAAAATATAAGTATGCGGATCAGATCTGAAACATTCTTAGTTTGACTAGATGTGTTCTGCAGGACTGACTCGTCTGCAGAGCTGGAGGTGGTGAAGGAGGCGGCCCTAGCAGCTGGAGCAGACGACGCTGTGGTGTGTAGTCACTGGCGCCAGGGTGGTCAGGGAGCCGCAGCATTGGCAGAGGCAGTCATCAAGGCCTGTCAGAAACCTCACTCCTTCCAGTAGGTGCAACCTAACTGTATAGAGAGAGGCTATCTGGAGACAAATTACTATTCAGAGGTTCAGGGGAAATGGGAAATTAGTCTGTGAACAATGATGCTGTATGCTGCCAGTTTTTCATTATACACCCGATTGGATGATAAATGAATAGCTTGGTCCGTAGTAATTGGTTTCCTGTAAGAGCTGTAACCCTTTAAAGATGGGATTTTCGGTATGTTTTGTGATTGTTACTTCAAGAAACTTTACTCGTTCTTTTCTTCAAGGTTCTTGTAAATGGAATTAAGATATAAATTGAAGATACTCAGCTGTGATTATGATAACTTGTCTGTTACCGTTAAGAAGACAAAGGTATCATCAACATTGCAGCAGTAAATATCAATATTATCTTATAATTTTGTCAGTTTTTATCAGATCATAGCTGTTCTATAACAATTGCAGTTAAAACACAGTTCTGTTATCACACTTGACAAGCTTGGGGATAAACCTGTTGTACAAGGGGCCCCCATAGCCCCTTGTTTATAGTTAAATCATTTTCAAACATCTGTATAAAAAATGCCTTGGTGTGAATCATTTACAACCGTCAAATAATTTACAACTGCCACGAGAATTTATATAAAAAATTTAATGATCGTGCAATCTTTTTTTTCAGATTTCTCTACAAACTAGATCAGCCTTTGAAAGCAAAAATTGAAAAGATAGCAGTTGAGATGTATGGAGCTGCATCTATTTCAATGTCTCCTCAGACAGAAGAAAAGCTTGAGCAACTACAGCAGAAGGTATATGATTTGGTAAAATAAATCACGTTTTGCTCGCACTGACGTCACTATGCACACACCTTCTTTCATACGCCTTGGTGTGATACAATTTTACTATTGAAACCAGATATTTGAGCACATACAGTTGAAGTTATCCAAGTGAAAATACTCGTATTCAAATCTTTTACATGATTGTGTTGCAGGGTTTTGGTAACCTACCGATCTGCATGTCCAAGACTGCGTTGTCCCTGAGTGGTGACCCTGAGGTAAAGGGTGTACCAAAGGGGTTCACTCTCCATATCACTGATGTCTTCCTGTCTGCTGGAGCAGGATTTGTTGTATGCATGTGTGGAGAGGTAATTAATACAATTTTTGAATTTTAATCAGAGCAGTCAGACATTCCATCTAGCATAAGGCTGCAGCCACACGTCAAGATTTGGCCACGCAAAGTTAAATCCGAAGTGTCAGTACATACTCGCAGTAGGTGTGACACCAACCGCCAGACAAACCGCTTCCGGTTGGGTTTTTCTGGCCTATGTCATCTATAATAAAACAAGGATCATTCCACTCACAATAGTCACAGACGAAACACTGATGTTAGTTTTGTCGTTTTGTGTTAGAGGCGTATGGTGAGCTAAAACCAATGGTTAATAGAAATCAACTAATTAGTTTCACAAATCATTAAATCAATTCCAAACAATTTAAATAACCTATGTAAAAATAATCTTACGTAATAAATAACTTTATTTTTTATGGTCATATCAAAATATTAAATAAGGCATTTACATATACAGTAGAACCTCTAATCCGAACTAATTGGGACCAGGGGTAGTTCAGACTATTGAATAGTTCGGATTACAGAACATATTGTTGTCTTTACATAACAATAGCTAAAACAAGGTTAAAATGGATCGTAATTGCTACGGGAAAAGTTATAAAATGTTTTATAAAGTAAAATACAGTTTTTATTTAATACAGTAGTAAACATAGTGAATAAACAGTAATGTACATTAAATACAGTATACAATAGAGAACTACTGTACTGTGTATAAAGTACAGCAATAAGGTGTTCGGATTAGTGGACGTTCGGATCACCGGGGTTCGGATTAAAGAGGTTCTACTGTACTATACAGGTTTTTATTTTTCAACCTGCTTACAATTTTCCAATTGTTTTTTCAGATTTCAAAGATGTTTGGATTACCAACAAGGCCATGTATCTACGATATTGATCTCGACACAAAGACTGGTGAAATTCTTGGACTGTTCTAGCAAAACCTAAAGGAAGACGTAATCATTATTGGCTACAATGTTTGTAGACAGTATCATACTGCTGATTTCTTTGGAAAACTCTAATTCAACACTAGGATTTAAGTAGTGATAATGTAATACCCCCGGGTGCCATAATATTTAGTATTTTCTTTGAATATTAATACAACTAGACATTCTATCCCCATGTTAAATTTGTAGCCAGGTTTTTTATCAAAATTGTTGTAGTTGATGAGTTCACAGATTGCGCTGATCTAAATTACTAAATTCTGTCGAGTATACATTTTTTTACCAAGTCGAACTTAGGGAATGACTTATGGTGAGCTATAGCAACTATTATGACCCATCAACCTGCTCAGCAACAAAAAATAAGGTATAAAATAGAATTTTAGATGCTAACGCATTCTGTGACTGGCTCACACAACTTCGTTCTTTTTTAGTAAAAAAATTGCGACAGCTGGTCCATATAGATGGGATTTCTGGGAATATCGTCTACTTCAGTATCCAATGGTCAATGGTATTATATTCCAAATTCAAATGCTAAACTTAGCTAAACTTTGGCTAAATGTGGTGTGAAAATATTAGTGTTGAAAAATCAAAATCAATATTGATTAATATCAATAACTCATATCAAAGTTATATTAACTTGTATAATATGTAGCTTTTAATTATTATTATACTCTTAATTGTGAATATTTGTTATTTTTCCTAGTACTGCCTCCATTATTTGAAGATTTTAATTAATTATTATTAAGCAATCAATATTATATTAATTTAAATTTACTCCGGTGAATCCATTTGATACAAAACAGGAATATCTTCTTAATGTAGGCTTTTGTGGCCGGTGTCATGCATGAGAGTTCATGGTGTTGTTTTTTGGCACCAACCGCCTTGTCACTAATCACTGTTGCCAGACGTTTCACCCTTTGAAGTGTTTAAGTGGCATACTTAGTGGCCAGGCTGAGACTAAATCAGGGAAGTTCGTACAGGTATAATTATTGCTGGGGTGAGGTATCACTGAGGTAAGTGATAAATATACCTGGACAAACTTCCCTCAATTAGTCTCAGCCTAACCACTGAGGACGCCACTTCAAAGTAAGGGTAAAACGTCTGACTACAGTGTATTAGCAATATAGCATTGAACATTCCATTTATTTTATGAGCAATGCACATTCCAATTATAACCTAACCATACTGATAGTACTGGTGTGCCTTAAATACTGCCTTCCAAACTAATACTCATAGTTTTAGATATATTTTTATAATATTTTATAGATACAAATAGTTTTGTATAGACAATTTATATCATTGGAAAAATACATTGTTATGATCATATTACTTCATTTAGTTTACTGTGTATATGGTTATATATTTTTCTGATTAAGAATTATGTTTTCATTTATACTGTTGTTACTCATATTGTTCTAAAATTGAAAATATATTTTGAGAAATCTGAAAACTCCTGAATTTCTTATTTTTCCAATATCAGTTTTAATCAGTTTTTTTTTTTATCCACGCTGTAATGGCTCTGTTTGAAAGATTATGGGGGGAATGGCTGTAGTTTACTGATAACAAGGGAAGGTATTCATCATAAAGAGTATTTTAGAGGTGGGCTGTTCAGTCAAGACCCGTTTGATTGGAAGGTATCCAAGTAAACGAGGGATCTGAATCACCCCAACCGAACAAGACCTTTACACTACACTATTTTGACGAACTTTCCACACAAGGATTTAGTCCAGAAAACAGCTGTTTGCCGCCACCTTAATCAAATGGGGTTTCATTGCGTACTACCATTGACTATTGGCATATCTATGCTATTGGATACAGTTGTTGTATTAATAGTCAAAGGTACTACTCTACTGTAATGAGTTTTACCGGACACCAATCAGCTGATTATACTGTATTTGGGTGGCAGTGAGTGGTTATAAACAAAAACATAACCTCTCTTAGAGCTTATGACTAGTGATTTTTAGTCCTTTAGTTGGTGATATAAGGATTTGTAAAGATTTAGTAGTATGGCGTAAACTATCGTACGTAACTCGTCCAAAATGTGTGTACCAGACTCGTATGGTAATCCCGTACTCGACTTTGTCTCGCACAGGAACGACCACACTCCTCCGGTAAACACTTATATTCAGAACTAGTAACATAATATACTATTTCGTTTCTGCCATTTCGTCCACTTTTTCATTAATTCTAAAACAGACTGACAATACCCGGAAACCGATATGACTGAAACTGAGTAGTGAAGAACTGACCGACCCAATAGTTGAAGATAAATGAGTATTCGTTTTGTGATTACATTTGAACCTCAGTACACACCAAAACGGAAGACAATGGAATTGGGCATAAACGTTGAAGCCATATTCATAGCCTCAACGATTTTCTTTTTACTACCAACTAGATTTTAAATGGCGATTGAAGGAATATTTCATATCATTGATGTGTAAAGTGTAATTCAAAGTTTTCCAAATGGGCTAACAATGTTAAGAGTTGTACTTTTTAGTTTTAAAATAATGAATTTTCGTCATACAAGAAATATTAGAAGTTCTTACCAAATAGACTTATAATGCTTTTATGCCAGGACAATTAGTTTGGCTTTTGTATTTTGAATTAGGTATTATAATTTTTCCTAAATGTTCTGCCCTAAGAAGTTTGTTCTAATATACCATAGTAAATTGAGGTTAATGTCTAAAATGTTTTTATAAAATAAAGGCGAAACTCTAATAACCCACTCAATCATATTCACAAAAAAGTAGCAAACCAAAGTGATCGGTGTATTTTTTTATTGTATCAACCTACAACAACTTTAGTTTGGATAGTCTTGTTTCGTGGGTTTAATCATGGAGTTAATGTACACAATTATTCATAAAATGAATGTACAGTATCAATAGTTATTAATCATAACGTATGCTTCATAACTTTCAATGTAACCATATCAAGTCAATTGCAGTCCAACTGTGAATACCCTAAAACCCGATCAATCTAACCGGTTGAATAGTATGTCAAAGTAAGGTTATATACAAATTAGATTAGAGGATACAAAGCAACAGATAATTTGAGTACAGTAGACTCCTTCTTTTCCAGAAACCTCGGGACTGAGGCCTGTCCGGATAATGGTACTAGTAACTAGTAAAACAGGCCGTTTAAATGTGTATTTGACTTCAATTTAGGAGAGCATTGTATTTAGACATGTGATCACTGGTCTCAAATCTTTTTCCCACGAGAACGGTCGTTTCGGTACCGCCAACTTCCTGCCGATCTAGACCGGTTAAACCGATGTGCTGATAAAAATTGTCCGGTTAAAGAGATGTCATTTCTACCGAGTGTAGTTCGGTTAAACCGATATCCGGTTAAAAGCTGTTTCGATAAGATGGAGTCTACTGTGGGTAGGACATTTTAATTTGATGTTGATATATGAATAAAATATAAACAACCCTAACATAATGATGTGTTGTTTTTTTTTTCTATTGTGATTTTGATCAAATGTACTTAACATAGTTTTTATTACCATCCAAACAGTTCAGGCAGTGTTCCGTTCTATCATATTACACCAAGAGTTTTCACACAACCCAGGGATGACTTGCACTACAAGCTCAAGTGTCTGTCTGAACGTGAACGATCCAAAATCTTGCAATCCAAACTAACCTTTGAACTAACTGAAACGAAACAACTGGGTTGGTTGAACCGGTTATGACAGTGACTGAGACTGACTGATCCGGATTACTAAGGTCATCCGAAAATGTCCATCAGTATTTGGGTGGATGGAAGTGGTTGGCTAGTTCACTAAAACTTAACACATATTAAAAGTTCATTATAATATATAAAAAACAATAGTAACAGTAAATTGTTTACAAAACTATGAATAGAGAATTAACATGAAAAATTAATACAAAATATAATCACCATGGTTTGTATAAATCACAGGTAAAATACAAACAACATATATAAGGTAATTTGAATATTATCTTCACACACACACACACACAGATGTTACACTTTTTGAATGTTTAAGTAAAAAGGTAACAAATTTAACATACAAGTTCTTGTAATGCAACATTAAAAAATGTATGTTAGGCCTATTGTGGCAATAATCACCTTTTAAAAACGAATGCTAGAAAAGACCCGGTATGTACAGTAGAAGCCCTTTTAACCGAAACCCGGGTTAAACAAAATGGTTCTATAAAATAATATAGGGCTGCAAAATGCATTAATAACTTCAATTGTCTGGTCTAAAGTATTTTCTATCCCATTGAAACATTTATGTAGCTGAAATAAAACACTGAATTATATAGAGATTCTCTTAATAAATTTTTCCTACACACTGTGGTGATACATTGGCTATTTTTAGCATACGATGGGTTAACCGAAGAATTGGTTATCAGAAATGGCTCTCCCCCCTTTATTAACGTTAACTGGGGTTCTATTGTATCACAAACAAATGACGTTTTTGACCGGAAAGTAAACAAAACCGTAGGTTAATTAAGTAATGCTATTAGTATAGGGGTTTTGTTTACTTTCGGACCAAAAACGTCATTTGTTTATGTTTATGATCCATACCAGTATTTTTCTAGTATTAAGGCTTTTAACTATCACCGTGAAAATCATTAATATACTAAGCATTGTTTTAACCGACAAATAATTGGTGATAATATTAACTTATTCATTACAATTTTTTTAATATGTTAAAACAACTTAAGTATTTTATATCCGAATGCGCATCAGCACTTAAAATAAAATGTTAACATTCTCTGTCAAAACAAATTCAGAAATTGATACCCTAAGAAACTTATTATAGGTTTGCTCTGCCTAACTTGCAATATTTACAAAACAAATTATTGGTAAATGTGTTCTTGAGTAAAAAAAAAAAAAAAACTAGGCCTAGATAAGTTTTAGTGCCACCAAGTACAGGCCATTAGATGTTTAATGTAAACTAACTAATCTCACAGATCAAATGTAAACCCATTTTATCAATGTATTAAAAAAAAAAAAAAACATCTTGAGACAATTTGAGATTACTACCCGATCAATCGACAGCAATAAGTGAAACTTAACTGTTTTTGCAAAATGTTGTTGCATTTTCCATATTTCAATGGCACATGGTTTTGAAATGGAAAATTTGTGTGGTTCCTCATAACAATTTTACATGAGGTTACATTGTGTTTCCAATTTCTTGGAATGCTTGTCTAAGGCTTCAACAAGATTATTTTAAACATAATTTTTACCTAGTAAAAGATAATTTATTTTGGTTTAAGATAATATAGTAATCCTGCTATGTAGATTTTGCAAAACTTATTATTTTTTACGTACGGATATGGAACATGTGTCCGGTGTGACATCCGGTTCTGATGAATAAATAAATACATGAATAAATTGATAATTTTAAATCTCAATTCTAACATCTTTAACTGAAAAGCTTGCTTATCAAGATAGATTAATTACAATACACTGTATTTAACAAGTTTTACCTCTCAAAATTGCTTAAAACTGCTAATTTAAGTGTATAATTAAAAAAAACCCTTCTTCATTTTTATGGTATAGCCTCTGGATCACTGATTTTTACAATAAAAGGTTTAAATTACCTGTATCCGTCAAGAGCGTCAACAGCGGCGCCGTACGTGTCAGATGCCTATCACGCGTTTTTCGTATTTTTGTGTTGGCCAATTTATGTTTAATGTTTTCGTGTACGTGTATGTGTTATTTTTGTGAACTTTAAACCTTGACGACCATTCCATGGATTAAATCAATGTATATACGTTTGACCTGAAGATGTGTTTTTACAACATGAAACGGCTGTAGTCAATCAACTACAAACCAGGATCACTTGACGGATACAGGTAATTTAAACCTTTTATTGCAAAACCTTCTGGTCTGCCCCCGGTTTGGCCGATGTCCGGGTAGGGTCAACCAATTATGGTAACCCTATGTATATGTCACTTCTCTTCAGTTAAAATTTATCGGTAAAAAGACTAGAAAGACACTTATTCCCGTTAACCATTTAAATTCTTAAAACACCCTGTCTGTGTTAGTCAATTAAAAAAGCTATAAAATGTAAATAGATTATACAAAATTCAAAGTATACAAAAATTAGTTACTTCTAACTATTGAGCGACGGTTATTTGAGTGATGATTACGAGCTGGGGAATGCACTGCCTATGAGTTTCTGGTTGTTGGCAGTGAAGGTGTAGGTCTGTATGTAGATGGACTTTCCGTTGAGTCTCAAGTAACACTTGTCGTTGGGACGAGCGAAGTAACACACGGTGTATAGAGCCAGCTCCAACTCCGGACTAGTGCCAACAAACAGTGTCCCGACAGGCTTCGACTTGTCCAACCACTTGTAATGTAGTTTGATCACTCCTCCTTTCTGTAGAGCACATAATTTCTTTAGATACCGAGAACTAATATTTTGTAATTTTTTAAAAGACTATTCTTTCCATTTGCTACTTAAGCATAAGCTACTTTTAGTAAAATTCTATAGTTTGTACCGTACTGACTTAAAACTTTTAGTAAAATTCTATAGTTTGTACTGACTTAAAACTTATTTTCCAATGTTCAGATTTTACTCCAAGAAACCACTGTTGTAAAACACATGTTTTGTCACTTAAAAAATATACCCCCTTCCACCACCAAGTTAACCATTATCCCCTTACATCACTCACTGACTGTCAGTGGCTTTTAAACTAAGATGATCACCTTGAAATGAAATGGTTCGTTGTCATAAAATACTAACGTACAGCTTATGACAATCGTCAAAAATACAACCAAGAGGGCTTGGTTTTTAGTTTTGAAACATTATAGGCCTACTGTTTACAGCACGTTACTGCAGTATTGCATGAAAACTATTATGATTTTGGTTAAGGCTGCAATAAGAATAGGTAAAAAGTAACAAAGTGTCCTGATAATAATTGTATTGTTGTTAAATGATTTCAAATAAAAATCTTAACTTACACCATTGAAGTCTGTAATCTGCATGTAGCCTAAGTAGTTTAAGTGGTTGTTTTGTTCTTCATGGCTGAAGAAAATCCAGTTGTGCAATCCAGAGACTTCTCCACGTTTTATTTCTCCAAGAAAAATATGTTCAAATGCTGAAGATCCTAGTTTACGATTTCCTCTAGAATATACAGTGAACCATATTTTATTCAGCAACTCCTTCATTTCCGATTTTGTACCATTGACAAATCCTAAGGAGGAAAATAAATCATCAATAGTAAGTTTTCAATTCATCCATCAAATAATTGAGAAAGAATAAACCTATTGCGTAAAACCTGATGAAGAATACTATGAACAATACACTCATTCTTCACTCATATTTGGGTTAAAATACGCAAATAGTGGCGTCCTCATCTTAAACAATTGATATAATTGATATACAGATTGATTGGTGTAGTATTACTATACTAATTTTAATTTTACAGATTAAGAATCAACGATACTCTGAATCGAGCATGTCGGCAGAAAGTATCTATGGGTATTTTGAAGCTGAGAGTCGTTAGCCAATCAGCCACCACTGATGTCCTTGTCAACCATGGACTTGGTTACCCTCATCTGACTTGCGTTGTTCCTGTTAAGGGGTGCGAGAGAAAAAGGACTTGGTTTTAATTTGCGCTTTGGAGATTCCAGGTAAGCTAGCTGAACTCTATCCCCTTAACCAAAAATTCTTATCAGGTTGGCTTTCCTTTAAAATACAAACTAACTTAATGCATTGAAATGTATTACAATAACATTGTTTATATGGAAAACCAACTTTCCATAGTTTAACTAATATGCGTGATATTCCAAACTACCTTTTGACTTTAGAAAACTGTTTGTATAAGCCCATATTGGTGTACTCAATACAGCATCTAAGAAATCAGGCTCTTCTTTCCGTTCAGCATTGGTGATTACTTCACTGTTTAAAAGTATGTTAAACTAGCTGTAACCCGCGGGCTTTGCCCCATTTAACTTCTTAATTTTCAAGGTGATCTCGTTCGCATAGCTCAATCACGTCCTGGTTGAAGTTCGTTCGCTACGCTCACTCACCTTTAGGTTGGAGCTCGTTCGCTGCGCTCACTTGCCTTCAGGTTAGCTCGTTCGCTACGCTAACTTGCCTCCAGGTTGAAGTTCGTTCGCTACGCTCACTCATGATTGCAAATTAGCTGTTGTCATAAATGTAAAAGAAATAATAGTGCTGCACCCTGTTGGTAATCCTTGTAACTTTAATGCTATTGAACATCATAGAACAGAACCAACTTGTTTAATTGAAACAGCTGTTAAAATATTCATTAATTCCATTTCTCATAAGGTTAACATGGGAAACTCCAGAGCCACTGGGGCGGAGCCCAGAGGTCGGAGGGTAAAATCCTTTCTTAGTGAGCGTTTTCTACCCAAAAGGAAGATGCCTGCCAAGTTTCAGGTTCCTACTACCATAGTAGGTCTTATGGTTTCTGAGATTTCGTGATGAGTGAGTGAATGAATGAATGAATGAGTCTGTGGTATTTGAGCTTTAATTTAGTGGAAACCTCTAGACTTTTATTTCAGGTATTTCTCCTATTTAAATGAGGTTTTTCGCTAAAAATGTATTACAATACCATCGTTTATATGGAAAACCAACTTTCCATAGTTTAACTAATATGCGTGATATTCCAAACTACCTTTTGACTTTAGAAAACTGTTTGTATAAGCCCATATTGGTGTACTCAATACAGCATCTAAGAAATCAGACTCTTCCTTCCGTTCAGCATTGGTGATTACTTCACTGTGAGTTGTATCTGGATCATAGTTGTCATAGAGAGCCATCAAACGGGCTACTGTGGCCACTTTCAGTACTGAGGGCTTTAGCTCCAGCAACCTGAAAACAAACAGGATAAGTCCAATCTGTAAATTTAACACTCTGAGTATATTTCACAAATTTGACAGTTTGTTATAGGTTATTAGTATATTTTGGGCCCAAAGCAGAACACTTAGGTGAGAGTGGGGCCAAGAAATATGCCTGCAGAAAGATCAGACCAGTGTGAAATAAGCTGCAGCGCACAAACAGAATTGTATAAGGACAAAATTTATTTTGAACTAGTCAGACTAAGTCAGTAAGAAACTAATAATTGTGAACATGATTAAACCGAACACTGTACCTACAAGAACATTATAACACATGGTTTTAGGTTTTAGGGCCTGGAAATCAGTAATTATTGCCAGCATTCATTTTATTGAGTCAGTTTTAAATTCTTTTTTTCTGTTTGGATAAGGGTGGTAAAACAATTCAATTCAAGCATACTGGTAGTCCTTCAACGTGTAAACCTACGTTTATTCGAACGAGTTCGCGATCCAGCATGATCGGACCATGGGAACGGGGGTTTATGGGGGGTTTTATGGGGTAAAAATAGGTTTTTCCCATTTTTGACCCAAAAAACATAAAATTTTGCAATTTCTTTCTAAACCATTTTGTAGAGCTTAAAAAAACAAATAATTTAGTATATTGAAGCGTTATTATGTGCCTAATGGTTATGGAGAAAATTCCAAAAAAATGTAAATTTAAAATTCCCATGTTATTCTTATGGAGAATAAGTAAACTGTTGTAGTTTGCTTGTTTATGGACATATTTTGATCAAATTTGGAAAATTTTTTTATTTCTTACTAACTATTAACATTTTACAAACAAAAGCAGTTTTACCCTCCCTGATGCAGCAAACCTAAGTACTTTTTAAACTAATTCTATTTCGGGAATAAATTAATGTTATATTTTTAAGTAGACATTTCAGTGTAAATCCAATCAGTCAAATGGAAATTCGCTTAGTCTGCAGGTTTGCTGCGGCGAAGAAAGTTAACAAAAATCGGCCGGGTAAAAAAACAGTTGCCGGGTAACAGCTAGTTATACTTACTAGTGTACATGTTGCTCGAAATCGAGCAATTGCAAAGAAGTACAGAGTTATCTATAAACAAATGACTTATTTAAAAACTAATAAGAGTCATAATTTCCGATTATTTTAAAAGAGTCGACTAAAATATTATTAACTAATTGAAATACTCACAATTTACATAACAGTCCCATTCCAGTTTAAAGGGTTAATTTTTAACTATCAAACTGCCCATGGACGGGAAATGGTAAGCTTACAATTTAAGTCAACGTAAAAAGGCTGTCAGCTTTTATAATGTACCGTACCTAAGTTATTTAGCCAATTTGTAGACAATAAGGTGTAGGCTACTTTAAACTCTACAGAACAGAGTTAGGCAAAAACTGGCAGAACTCTGAAATGAACATCCAAAACTATACCCATTTTTAATACAACATTAGATAATTTGCACATTGATTGTTTACAATTAACACATGTTCTTCTTCTCACTTTTAATTTTTGGTTCGCAACGGCAAAAATCTGTTTCATAATCATTGAAATAGATTTATAATAAATAATCCATCATAAAGTTTAAGCTTAAATAAACCTACTACACAGTTGTTTTATTTTTTTGGATCAGCTGTCTGAAATTGTGAAATAGGTATTTGACAGTTCTGGTTGTTTACATTTAAATGTCAGCAAATGTAAACATTGTGAATTTTCTCATGCTTCCATGGAGACCGATTTTTAATATTTAATTTCTGACAACAGCTGAAGTTTCAAAACAATGTTTGTTTCCCATGTTAATCTTATGGAGAAATACAAAACTTTAAAGGGCCCCAGGGCCTCACTCTCTAATTATTTCCCTAAAAAGAAAGTTTCCTGCACAACTTCACATTACGCTCTTTCCAATGACACCAAAAACATGTCAATCGGTTCAGTAGTTTCAGAGGAGTAATTGTCACAAAAATCCTGCTTGCGTATTAAATAAGTACTAGAGGTCGTCCAGTGGTCGAAACTCGACCAAAAATTTGTAATATACAGACTTCTCTATTTTCATCCCACACTGTAAATAAAACATGTGATTGGAGTTTCTTCAATTTGTTTTGATTTTCTGTTTATATTGCGTTGTTATTTTGTCACCAGCATAGAAACCCATAAAGCCCATGTTAATTTTTTTCAAATTTCAAATTCCTTTTTTGTGCTTATTTCTGAGCCTATTTTAGTTTTTATAGGGATTCTGCACACCTACGGAAAAATATCTTTCTAACAGTATGCGAAGATTTTTCCTGCGATGCACACGAGCTGAGAAAAAAGGTTTTAAAGATACATGCTTGCCTATTAATATATAGATAGATTTGTAAACATTGTAGCTAAAAAGTCTGACATTGGCCCACTTAAAACCCTCTGGGGCGGAGCTCTTTTGACGGATCTGCACCAAACTTCACACAAACCATCCTTGAAAGATGCTTAATAATGCCTGAAAGTTTCATTACAATCTGGCAAGCGGTTTCGGAGTCCATAACGTACACACATATATACATAGTTCCTCTTTTATAGATATAGATGTATAGACTATATACTATAGTCTATACGTTTTTAAACTTATTTTGTTTATAAAAAAGAATTCTCATAGAATAGAAACGTTAGGTCAAAACCATAGTTATAATACTAGAAACAATAGAGTATTTGCTTATACAAGCCACCATCTTAAATTGTAGTATGAAAATTGAAAAGAAACCTTCCTATGCAAGTATTAGATTCTATAATGCTTTTTCAGTGAATTTAAAATCCAGAGTTTTGTGTGTTTAAGAAAAAGCTTAATGCTACTCAAACCGTTGTACTCTCTACATGAGTTTTTTGATTAATGTAATGTTATAAACTTATCTCTATGTTTAAATTTCATGTATATTGCAGTGAAAATTGTTAACTTATAATATTTTTAAGTTAGTAAAAACTTTCCATCATCTTAAGAAGTATCCCGAATCTAAATTCTATTGACGCTATGAATAAAGATAATATTTGAATCTTGAATCACTAACTAGTGTAAAGGCATTAGTCAAGGAGATGAGGGCCACAATCTTCGACCAAAGTGTGCACTCGAAGGGAGCATCTGAGGTAAAATTTGTTAAAATTAGAGAAACAGAGGAATCATATTTTAATAGAATAGCTAGTGATTTCCTGACAATTGTAAAAATTATAGGTACACAATTTTAAAATGCTGATTAAACACAGTCCATTGTTGAGACTCTTACAAGAAGTATAGCTGTTTCTACATTCGATATAGCTGTTTTATTATCTTACTTATCAGCGGCTCCAAAAAGAAAATACAGTACCGTAACTGAATAATATATAATCATTTTGTTGCGTTAGTTTAGATTACAGTTACATAAACTTATCAGTTTAAATCAACATTGGTTTGATTCATGATGTTATTTTTTTCTTTGCTGAAAATCAACTCACGGGAGAGGTGCTTGGTCAGTGTCAGAATAAGCCCTTGTTTTGGCTTGGGACTTGACAACTACTTGCAAAGAACCATTATTGTTATCCTTTCCAAAAGCTGTTTCACTGAATGTTTTCAATTCATCATCAGTAATCGGTTGTGCTCCTGGAAATATAAAATGACACAATTGAACAGGAAATGCAGATTGTTAGAGGCAGGATTTCAAGAATAGTCCTAAAAGTATAAGTTTTACAAAAAAAGTAAATAAATCTGGCTACACGAAGTAATAATATAAGCCACCTTAATATTAGAAAATGTAACTTTAGAACAGACAACCGACTTTTACTTATTTGTTTGGTTACGGTAAACAATTACGGGGATATTTCCAACAATCCTATTAATTGAAAATCAATATTTGACAGCCATATAATGAGGCTATTGCTAAAGTTAAGGATACACTCATTTAGGAAGAGAAGTTCAGGCCGCTTTCTTTGAAGGTGTTTGATTTAAATAAATAGCTACAAACAAAGAAAATTTAGATTCAAGCACCATCGTCCACCAATTAACTAATCTCTAGGCTATACAATTATGAGGGAAAAAATACTCACCATCACTATTGTGACTTTGAATAACAATTGACAAAATTAGTCCAAACGTAGACAAAAGTATCATATTTTACGATGGACTTTTTATACTATAAAGTAGAACAATATAAAGACTGAAGTTTCACTTTTAAAATCTGAAAAACAAAACACATCAAGTATAATTTGTTCAACTAAAGTGGCCCACACACTAGTATGCAAGTGCCTTGCTTGGCTCGTGGTGAAATGACTGCAAGAGGCTCGTTGAGGAACATGTGTGACTTAAATGGTGACCACACACTACAGACACACACGTGTGCTCTACTGTCTTGACGATACAAATAGTGGGCTAAAACAGCAAATACAAAAGTTATCATTAGGGAACCTTGTTTTTTTTTTACTATTTTTTCATTTTGTAGGTTTTTAGTAAGGGCTATTTTTAAAGTAGCAAGAAAAGTCACTAATGAATAAAATTTGCCTTCAAATAAGACATCAGAGATAATTATTAGTGGTATGTATCATGGTTTTAGGGTTTACAATACGCTTGTGAGCTTATAAAGAGTGAGAACGAAGGCATTTAATGCCCTTATTAACAATATGAGGGTTGTAGACTTAAATATGATATAATAAGTTTATTTAGTTCACGTTGATATGAAGATCTCAAAGAATGAATTTTAGTATTCACAGAATTGTCGTCACTGTCAGGAATCACTTCCTTGCATTTTGTTATTAATAGCTCCATACTTTCTTTTTGCATGTGTATGTATGTGTTTTGTTTACTGTTGTGTGTATTTTTGTGTTTGTGTCAGGCCCATTTTTGACCATGTCAGCGCCCAAGGCACAACTAAAATAGTAGCGCCCCTTTGCAATATATAACAGAGTGACCACCAACCGGGAAATCCGGGAATTAAGCGTGAATTTTTTTGAACAGGGAATTATGTGTAAATTTTCTATTTCTACCTGGAATTGTCAATTTACCGCGATGGCGCATGACAACAGTGACGTTTCCGTGATCACGGGAGACGGGAGACAATAATATGTCTCCACAAGGCCGCGAGGGATGATTAGAACTTTGCCGCGATCGCATGAGACGATGATAATATCTAAACGACCGTGGGATATGATCATGATTTTACCACGATCGCGCAAAACGATAATGAGATCTACAGAGCCATGAAGAATGATCAGAATATTGCTGCGATCGCATGAGACCATGATAATGTCTAAACGACCACATGATATGATCATGATTTTACCGCGATCACGCGAGACAATGATAATGTCTAAACGACCGCGGGATATGATCATGATTTTACCGTGATCGAACAATACGACAATAAGATCTACAGGAGCCGCAAGGGATGATCAGAATATTGCCGCAATCACAGAAGACGAGGATAATGTCCAAGCAACCACGGAAAACGGTCAGGAATTTGCAACGAACGCTGAAAACTAAGCTTTTAAAAAATCTAGGAACAGCTGTTACATAATAAATATTAAAATAAAGCCGATCATGGGCATCACAGCTGTGGCTAAGTTAACGCCACACACATTATCCCCCCGACAGAGACTGGAGGTCCAGGAAGCTTGAGCTTTACATTTTGACCAGACCGAGTTGAATAGCTTCTGAATAATTATGCCGGGTTTGGAGGTTTGAGGGATGTGTTTGAAGGTTGTATATTTAGAGGCTCTTTTATTGTTGGCTGATTACATTTGATGGGTAACACATATGCAGGTTTCACCCTATCTAAGCTCACCCGTACTTGTTTGCCATTCTGTGATATTATAAAGGATTTGTCATCATGAGAAATTACAGGGTATGGTCCGTTGCAGAGTCTGTAGAGCACGTTTCACAGAGTCATCTCTTAGGAAAACATCGGTGCACTTCCTGAATATAAAAGTTTTAGGGTTGACGGGGCGTGAAGTTTGTACAGGTCTCATTGAAGACATGTGTTGACGGAGTCGTACAACATAATGAGTAGGATCTTCATGCCTGGGTCCGTTAACAGGGAGATCAAAAATTCTTCTGGAAGTCTTAACTGCCATCCGAAAACAATTTCTGCCGTTGAAGCTTGAATGTACTCGCGGTACGCACTTGTTATACCAAGGAGGACAATCGCAAAAGCCAGGATGAATCGTGATGACACATCAGTGAAGCTTTGATGTGACGATGGAATCTCTCTACCAATCCATTGGCACAGGGATGGTAACTGCAAGTCCTAAATCTTTCAGAGCCGAAAGTTGTTCCAAGAAACTTGAAGACGGATGATTCGAATTGGCGGCCTTGATCAGTAGTTATTCTTCAAGGAGCGCCATAACAAGAAAAACCAGCACGAGACTAGACCTTCGGCAACTTCTCTTGCAGTATTGCCCTTTAAAGGATGAACCTCAGGCCACCTAGTGTAACGGTCTATGACTGTAAGACAGTAATTGTATGGTCCTGTTAGTGGTAAAGGCCAAATTATGTCAAAATGGATGTGCTGAAAACGTAATGATGGCAAAGAAAATGTTCCTAGTGGAGTATAAACATGTCGCGTTACCTTGCAACGTTGGCATCGCTTTTGCATACTTGGCCAGACAAATCGATCTGCTACAAGTTTTGCAGTAGCTTTAATGCCTGGGTGGCTGAGGGCATGTAGCAAATTAAATACCCTTTTCCGTAGTTCAACTGGTCAATATCGTCTTTGGGTCCCTGTTGAAGTGTCGCAAAAGATGAATGACTTTGTTCCAGGTATTTGGATCTTCTGTATTTTGAGGGATGAATTGTTATTGTTTATGAGGTTGATGAGTTCGTCATCTGAGCTTTGTGCTTTGGTAATTGACTCAGGATCCATTGAAAATGAAATAGCCTCTATACTTGATAAAGCATTGGCAACAATGTTTTCTGAACCGCCCGTGTGTTTTATGTCTGTAGAAAACTCGGAAATTAATAAAAGCTGACGTAGTTGAACAGCTGTGGCAGTTTCTCACGACGTTGATGAAAAACAAATATTGGAGGCTCATGATCTGTAAAAATGGTAAATGCCGTGGTTTGCAAAAAATGACGAAAATGCTGTACTGCTTCATACACAGCTAGAAGTTCACTGTAGTACCCCGGCCAAGAGCTTTGCTTTGGTGAAAGTTTCTTATAGAAGAATCAAGTGGCTGGGAGTGTCACTGAGGACAAGCTAGACTTGCAAGCTTGAAACGCTTTTTCAGTCTCTGGAGTCCAAAGCACAGGAAGTGATCCCTTGCTATTTGTACCACCAAGGAGAGAGTGTAAAGGTGCTTAATAAGAGTTTAAGGGCCTATTAACACTGGGCCACCATGGTGGTCGGTCAAAATGTGCATGAACCACCAGCTCAGCCACCAATGCAGCTGCAGCTGCAAAGCTCACAGTTAAATCATGCACGTCGAAGAAGCAGGTGCTTTAGCATATATATTTTTGAAATTGTGAAAACGTAAGAAAAAACATAGTTTTTGGGTTCATCCGTTTTAAAGAGATAGAAGTAATAGAGGGACTTTTTTCACTCACTAACACTTTCACGCACACTCACTTTTTTTTGTCTACTGTACATGATGTTCCTTGGATCTGTTTTGGACCCTTTGAAGAAGACTGGGACGGGTGGCGTCGTCCTGTAATCCAGCTACTAGGAGGTCACGAATTGTGGATATTTATAGGCATGCACTGTGGATGCAATACTCCCTGGTGTGGATTAACCTTAGAAATAACCCTAACAAGTTTTACACTTACTCAAGAATGTATTTTTGTATTTTGTATTTCCAATATAAAACGCTCCGTATCTACTTCATCCGTACCAGTATTCATGATCTGCACATTTAGCACTCCACTAGTAGACTGTGTAATGCCCGCTGGTAGTGACCGATGGCGCTGCCAGTCGCTCCAATGTGAAAAGTCCGATAAGAAACCATGGTGCGACGTGGTGGCGACACCAGACTGGTGTCTTTGAAAATCGCAACCCCGAGCCACCGCATTTCTGGTCGCGTGGCCAGACGCGCCACAAACGCTCAGTGTGAAGATGTCTCATTTAAATCAATGCTAATGTAACGTAGCCACCATGGTGTCGCCACCGGTGTCACCACCATGGTGGCCCAGTGTGAAGGGGGCCTAAGAGTTCTGCGGCTTTTGGTAAGAATCTACAATAGAAGATAGATAGTGGATTATTAGCAACCGTCGAAGACCGCGCATTGACCCAAAACACACTGAAGTCAAATACAATAATATAAATCATGATACAGGCCTAGTCAAAACTAAACCTTTTAAAAATCTAGCAACAGCTGTTACATAATAAATATTTAAATAAAGTAAAGATCAAAGGCATTACAGCTGTGGCTAAGTTGACGCCATACACCTTTAATTTATGCTTTCCAAATCTATATAATACAGAACTTATTAAAGGATATAAGCAACCATTTTGTTACGAGACAGGATGTTTATTTATACCCATGAGACATACACCCAGACGCTAAACATTCTGTAGAGTTTAGCGTATTGTTCCCATGGCCAAGCGTGGTAGTGGAACTGCCGAGATTTGTATGAAACAGCGGTTAAACCGAACTGCTCTCAAAACAAGGTCGGTTAAAACAAACTGTAGGCCTAATAGGCTATTTTACGAGTGAGGGCAGATAATCCGATTATCGGTTAATGCGAAGTCAGTTAGAAAGGGGTCTACGGTTAAAGGTTCTTGGGAATGATCACGATCGATACAAACAAAACAGCTTGCCTCACGTAGGTACCCTACCTAATCTAACTGAACAGAAGGTAAGATTCAAAATGTTTTAATGACACACCCTCTTTCTTTTAATCCAGATTCATCTATTACAATACTAAAACGATAAATGATTGGAATCGGTATCCAAAACTGATCCGCTCACTTTAGGTCACTCCAACCTTTATAGGTAGGCCTACATTCTCTAACCTTAAAACTACCTAAATATAACTATTTTGTTTAGCAGTTATCTTTAAAGAAACAAATTGTAGGTTACTAAGTTAAACTTAAGTTAAGTAATTATAATGTGTGAACAAGTAGCCTAAGCAATAATAGACCAATAGGCAAACTGTCGTTTTAAGTCTTATAGGGTTAATTGGGACCTAGGCCTACCAAACAGATAATTACTTTTTCTTTTTAGCTGGGGAAAAAGGTATCATTTTCAAAATTTATACTAGTTTATTAGCCTAAATCAAATTGCAAAATATTTATTATTAATATAATATTAACGAATTGTTTACTTCACACTACACATCTGGGAAGAATGTGATGTTATGATTGCGACTTTCTTGCCTTGACCTTGACTGAAAGAAAACAGTGAAAACAATGAGTGATAGTGATACTGTACCTGTACAACTCCAGCCAGAGGCAACCCACCCAACCTTACAACAAACAGATTACTAACTAACTGATACTGACCCATACAACACTACGAAACGAAGACAGTGCAGACGACGCGTCGAGGTCACATCTGGGACCTGATGACCAAATAACGAACGATGAAAAACGTAAATTTACATCAGCTGGTCAAACAAGTCGGAGAGTCCTGCTCATCTTGTTTGTTCTAGGCACACTAGTTCTTAGTAGTTCAATCTTTTGAAATCGTTTACTTCATTCTAATGATTATAAATGTGAAAGTTTATGTGTTTGTTTGTTTGAAGTTTAACCACGCATTAACTACTGGTAGTATTAGAGTGAAAATTTAAAAACCAACGTTTTCAAGAAAAGCACTTTAGAATATGGTATTTTTATTTATTTTTTCAAACACTTTTATATTTTTATTTCATTGGTACCTATTTTAAGTTTCATAAAATGTCCATGTTAATGCAATATCTTGGTGGTTTTTTTTAAATAGCATCTATAATGGAAAAACATAAAATTCTGTCACGACCATAACGGACGTAAAAATGAATACTAAAATAGTTAATGTTATTTTTATAAATATGTTTGGCTGTAAATACATTTAGTTTTAGTGTAATTTTTTAATCAACAGCTCATTAAGCTAATAATAATTTGGGTAAATTTGGGTTTTCTAAAAAAAATCGAAGAGTTAAAAATATCTTAATAAAAGCTAAAAAAACCTCTACAAGTTTGTATAACTCCCCGAACAAACGTTACCAATATATGAAATACCTTTATGTTTTTATAGAGGCGTCCTACTTGTGTTTATAAAACATAGGAATATAAACGATATATCAATTTTTGAATTTTCATGAGTGTTAAGGGTTTGGAATTGGTGATTAACGACAATCATTATGTACACTGTTTATTAAAGGTTTCCATTCCACTACTCTTATTCTTATAAGATTCCACAAGACTTGATAAACCATAATTTATTTATAAAATGTTATTATACAGTAGTTTATAACTCTATAAAATATAGGCGTTACCCTTATATAAGTTCATAAAAATACCTTTCAATGTAAACATAGATCAAAATCTATTTTTTTACATCCTTCAATTAATTGTACTGCTATAACAAAGATATGTGTTGTAATTAAACTAAACTGTGCAATTTAAAATTATGTTTAAATTTATTTTTACGACCATAACAGAGTACAATTGATAAAGCTATTTTGGTCTTGATTCCCCGGTCGTGATATCACGTTTTTTTTCGTTCTGGTGGCAGCCCTAATCTTAGGCAAATGGGATTTCTAGGTTAACGTGGCAATTAAAATATCATATCAACAAAAATAAACACAATTTCTACTTCATCAAATGCCTACGTGGTCGTGGAAATACCAAAATTACAAAAAGCACAAACCTTTATTAATCTTGTTTTGTTTCCTTTCTTTACTGCAAAGCCGCCGGCACAACAAAACTAACACACATCCCAAACCAGTATGTGTTCCAAAGTTGCAAATTTTGCCATTATGGTCGTGACGTCATATAGATGAGGGGCAGACTGATTTTGTCATGATAGTCTTTTCCCAATCAAAATTATTTTATGCTACTTTTTTGTAAATTTAATGACTATTAATGACATAAAATATGGCAATACATATTTCGGCATGAATAATAATTAGTCTAAAAACAGCGTGAAAGTTGAAAAATGTACCCTAGGGACACGTGATAGTCGTGAATTTCGAAACTTTAAAAATAAAAATAAAATACCTAGAACATATTTAAAACCAAATAAATGTTTGTGACATGTTGCCCCCGTCCCAAAAAAATATTAAAACACATAACAACTAAAATTAATACAGTATCTACAAAATAAAAGGCCAGGGACATTAAAATGTGCGTTTCATAATTTTCACTCATTGGGTTGAAATTTGGTATGATGCCTGAAATTTGGGCTCACATTCCTGATTAACATACTGTATAGACATATTCTTATCACAAAAATCCTTTCGGGCTCTGCCCCAGTGGCTCTAGAGTTTGCCATGGTTATCTTAATGAGTATTCATATTTACAGTACATAGACAAAATAATTAAATATATAGACTGTCAGGTGCAGTGGTTACCATAGGTTCTGGCGCACACCGCTGGGAGCGCCGTGTAGTTACGTAGGGCGTAGGCCGTAACTACATGGCGCTACCAGCGGTGTGCGCCAGAACCTATGGTAACCGCAGCACAGCTGACAGAGTCTATATTTAATTATTTTTGTCTATGATATTTAAAAGGAATTACTGTACAGCTGTTTCAACTAGGTACTCAAGTTGGTTCTATGATATTGAATATCATATCATTAAAAGGTTATAAGGTTTACCAACAGGGTGCAGCACTATTAATTCTTTTTGCATTTATGACAACATTGACAGCAGCTAATTTGGACCAAGCAGCAACAAAAGCTGTGAGAATTTTACTTTCCTCTTTTTATTGTTTAGGTGCAGTAGCAGTGGTAGAACATTATGGCTATGGTAGATGTGCTATACTATAGTATACTGTAAATTAAATTAAACCAAACTTTCTTAAAACGTGTCCCCTCCCATTGCAAATGCAAAGCACGAGTAAAACTGCAAAACGCATTTTATACTTTTACGCCAACCCCGTATGAAGGACACTCTGCTAGTAGACAATAAATACGAAACTGGTAAATGAAATCTAAATCTTTCAAGAAATAGAAATTAAACTAGTAAACAACAAAACCCTTCTACATACAAAACCTAAACTGGACAAAAACTTGAGTATCTTTTCTTACCTTACATTTAATTATCAAGGGGATCAGTAAGAATGAAAAATCTTTAATATATTGTTTTATTGACTGTAGTTCACGTTATCAATTTGTTTGGGTAAAATAAGCAGCTGAAGATCAACTGTGCATGCTATGTCACCTGCTGCATTATTCTGGCCCAAGATATTATGGAGTATAGTATAAGAATGTTGTACTCATAAGAACTTCTTTAAGCAGGAAACCCACTTACACTACATACATCTTGGATTCAAGCCAACTTGGTAGTGGAACGGAATTATCTATACTAGAGGAGTATGTTTTATCTATGGTATTATACTGTACATGCAGTTTTTTGGTGCCAATGGCTTACTGTACGAAGTCTGGCTGGGCAACTTGCCAACAGTCCAACACTAAGAACTAGGGCACTGTAGCTGACCGAATATGCCAATCATTCAAAAAAGATCTTTTGATACCTATTAATAAAAATGTTGTAGTCTTACTTAAAAAGGAGATGGGATTATTTGATAGTAAAACACTGTGTCTTATTTACTTGATTATGTTTGATTTACTATTTTCTTGATAATCCTCAATTTTGGAAAAATTGTGAGAGAATAAACAGCATCAGTGTTTTGGCACATCAGTATCTAGAAAGGTTGCCCCAAACTGATTTCAAATATCTCAAGTAGTTAAGGGGGGGCAAGTTACTTTTCAGCCACCTTTTACAGTATATTCTTCTATACAATTCTGTGTTGAACACAATAACTAAAATCAACTTGGATGAGTTTGAGAACCACCAAGATTGGATAATGCAAACAGGATGTTGTTTTAAAGTCATTCAAAATATTTGTTTTTGAAATTTTTATTTTTAAAACATTGAAATGTTCAGTTTTCATTGCAGTCATAATGTAGAACTTAACAAAAACAATCAGTTTTGTATATTTCAGGCGTTGTTGTACAATTTAATGTTATAGAGAGGAAATTTAAAAAAAACCGGTTGATTTAACATTTTTAAGTGTTTGTTTATGTATATTTTGTTTAGGTATATTTTGTTGAAACTCAGAAATTTTATTTATTCCATCTTATACTTGTAACGTTTGATCAAAAACACACTTTTTACCTTCCCCGAAGCAGACCTAAGTCCTTGTTAGATTAATGTTACTTAAATAGGAAATAATTATGACTTGTCTATGGAAATATTTGAGAAAAAACCAATCAGACTAGTTCAAATTCGCTTAGCTTGTAATTTTGCTGTGGCGGGGGTGTTAAATTTATATAACAACAACAAAGTTCAAAACCAAAACCCCTATTGGTTTAGTTGAATCTGTGTTGTAAAAATTCAGTTACCGGTAACGTATTTTGCTGTGTTTTATTTTCTACGAATAATTTATATTTTTACAGATGTCACAATATGTAAATCCACCGTTGAACTTCTCTTGGGTTGTACAGGAAAAATTGGCAGCAATGGCCTGGCCACAAACGGAAGCAAACATAGAATATGTGGTTGAAAGTGGTATAAAACACCTTGTTACTTTGTCACCAGAGAAAATACCTCCAGCTAAACATCATCCTAAAGTGAAATGGAAGTTAATCTCCATACAAGAATTTCAAGCCCCAACTCTTGATCAGATAAGACAGTTTATAGATATCTGTGAAGAAGCGGAGAGAAATAAGGAGGTAATGGCCAAATGAATAATATTAATACTCACCCATAACTGTTATTAGGCCTTGAACATGTTATTGTCTGTGAATATGGTTAAAGATAACTAATTTTTTTCCATCAAAATGATGGGGGTGATTAGACCTTTAAATTGGCCTCACACAACCCATGTTTACACTTTAAAATTTCTCAAAAACCGACCCTACCCCCCAAGTTGGGCCCTTTTGGGGCGTTTTTCAAAATTGAAAATAATTTTATTGGATTCATCATGTCTAAAATGAACAAGTGTTAAAAGCCTTACCTTTTTACACAACAGATACGGAATGTTTTCAAATGAACACCCTGTATAGTGTATATTGACTAAAACTGTTATTTTGTTCAACCTCTAAAACAAAAGTCTTAAAAATCCGAAAAGCAATTCACACAGAAAATATATTTAAGAATCACATAAAATTTTCTGCTCGGTAATCAAGCTTACGGTGCATGATTAATATGATTCTACGTGAACGCATGTTTTTGCTGATCGGCGCTAGGACAACACTGTTTAGCCTGGCATCTGACGGCCAACAACAATGCAAAATTATTCACTCCTGCCGACTCTTAAGAACTTTTTCAGTTAATGTAAGTTATTACAATTACGAAAATAATTATGGTAATACTTCAAAAGAAATAATGGAAAAACAAAAAATACAAGAATATTGATCTTTGTATCAAAATAACCCACTAACAATGTAATTAAAAGTATTGTTTTGATCAAAGTGAGTAAGTAGAAGCAATGTTTACACTGGAGCTAAAACGTGTGATGCAAATAAAGATTTACAACAAAATAACAAGAATGTTTATCTCTAACAACTACCACAAGATTTTTTTTGTTTTCCACAATAATCAGACGCCACACTACACTATTATAATAGACTTAACATGCATGAAATTAGTCCGGAAAACAGCTGTTAGCCGCTTGCTTAGTCAAATGGGGATTTTTTACAGGACACCAACTGATTATACAGTAATTAGCAACATGTCAACGAATCAATAAAAGAATAAAAAACATAACCTCTCTTAAAAGTTATGAGTGATTGGTCCTTTAGTCGGTGGAAATGTATAACGGATTTATACGGTTTTTTTTTATTGTTAGGTTAGTTCAAAGTAGAATGGCAAAAAATATCTTATGTCACTCGTCCAAAATGTGTTGACCGTACTCGTATGGCAATCCCGTACTCATCCAGTAAACAACTATTTTCTGGACTAGTAACGTAATCAATGTACTATTTCAGTTCACTTTGGTTCTACTGTGCATTTCCCAAACTGCTGTGTACGGTTGCAGGCAGTGGGGGTCCATTGCAGGCAGGGCCGAGGTAGAACAGGTGTGATGGCAGCTTGCTACTTGGTGGGGTTTCATGGTCTATCACCTGACAGAGCTATCACCAACCTGAGACTTGCCAGACCTGGCTCTATTGAGACTTACATGCAAGAGAAGGCAGTCTCAGCTTACTATGACTTTCTACAAAGATCTGAGTTTTGAATATTAAATAATGATGCTTTGAATAACAAGTTTCAATGTAGTTGGATATGTTATAAGGCTGTAAAATTTAGTACTGAATATAAATTGATAAATTATCAACCAACAAAATGCTATATTTTAGATTTGGCCTTTCTTTGATAAAATATTAAACTCAATGTCCCAATTGTGGATTCATTTTTAATACCAATCCCTGTCATGTTACTAATTGATAAAACATTAAAATACCCCCGCCGCAGCAAACCTGCAGACTAAGCGAATTTCCATTTGACTGATTGAATTTACACTGAAATGTCTACTTAAAAATATAACATTTATTCTTGATTTAAATAGAATTAGTTTAACAAGTACTTAGGTTTGCTGCATCAGGGAGGGTAAAACTGTTTTTTTTTTATGTGAATAGTTTCGTAAGAAATAAAAACATTTTCCAAATTTGATCAAAACATGTTCACAAACAAGCAAACTACAACAGTTTACTTATTCTCCATAAGAATAACATGGGAATTTTAAATTTACAATTCTTTTTAATTTTCTCCGTAACCATTAGGCGCATTATAACGCTTCAATATACTAAATTATTTGTTTTTTTAAGCTCTACAAAATAGTTTGGAAATAAATTTCAAAATTTTATGTTTTTTGGGTCAAAAATAGGAAAAACCCATTTTTACCCCATAAAAGCCCCCATAAACCCCTGTTCCCATGGTCCGATCATGCTGGTTCGCGAACTCGTTCGAATAAACGTAGGTTTACACGTTTGTACCAAATTTCATCAAAATCGGATCATTTTTGCTCGAGTTATCGTGCTGACGGACACATATATATATATATAAATATATATATATATATATATATATATATAAATATATATATATATATATATATATATATATATATATGAATTTGAACGGATGGTGTTTTTGGCCTCTAGGGACCTCAAAACGAAAAAAAAAATCGGTCCCGCGTCCAGGTCTTACCATGAGTACTACGGTAATAGCTTATTCCCTATATGGGAAATTCGCTAAAATATGTATTTTGTCATACTGCAGCAAAACAGCCAATTTAATACATGCATTGCGGATCTCAAGTAGCATTTTAACCCCCTAGGGAGTAAAAATCAGCTGTTGTAAACAGTTATAAATTTCGCTTGTAACAATCGCATGGATCAAAATTATTTAACGATTGTTTATTAGGTAAGGTTTTAGCTTATTGTTGTATTCTCCTCAATAGTTTCACATATCGATGATATAATGTACAGTAACACAATCCTAATAGACAAAATGCTTGATCCACTTACTAAACAGCTGCTTATTAGCAGAATTGAAAAGAAGCTGGAAGCCGTTTTGGGAGGTTGTCTTAAAATGAAAATTTTTTTGTTCTAGCTTAGTTTGTTAATTAATTATGCAATATGACGAAAAATATAGTTAAATCACATTGGCAAGAAACGTCTTTTCGACCTTCGCTCATTTTACGACTTTGGCTTCGCTTTGATCATAAAACTTGAGCTTGAGTCAAAAGGAGTCACTTTAGGCACTAGTGATGAAAATTATTATACTTATGAAAATATTACTATTATTTTGGCATACTGTAGCAAAAACGGCTGTTTTCAATATCTGTGTTGCAGGACTAATGAAGATATTTTTCTCCCTTGAGCAAATAAGAATTGTGTTGGTTATTAATTATACAAATCTGACAGATTTGAATTTGTTATTCTGTTAGCAGGGTAATACAGGCTGCTTCTGAATAACGGAGACAGGTATTTGTAAACGATAGCAAAACAAGACAGAAACAATTTAAGGAGCTTATTTAAAAAAATAAACAATGTTTGAAATTATTGTTTGGTGATTTAGTGAGCTGTATGAAAAGTGCAGTTTGACAAAAATTGTATTCATCACATGGGCTAAAAGTGTCTTTTCAACCCTTGCTCATTTCTGTCAAAAAAAAAGTCACTTTAGGTCCTGGTGGTGAAATGTACGTTTGTATCTTTATGTAAAATAATTAGTTGCTGTCTCGAATTTGTATTTACCATCACAAAAGTGACAGAACTAAAGGAAAGGGACGTTGTATTATTGCCAATACCTTACCCCAGATAATCAAGGTCTGCATCAATAGATAAGAATTAGAATAGTTAAAAAAGATTTTATAGTCTTATAACAGTAACAAAAATAATGTTTGGCTTAAGATAACCATTCACTTAGATATGCACAGTTAGTAGGATTGACTGCGCTAATATCACTGCAATTCCGCATCACCTGAAACAAGGAATAGTTCATGAGTAGGTACAGTTCAGCCCAATATGCTACAGTAAACATATTAAACACTAGAATATACAGTAAACAAACTCTTTTAGTACCAGCTAGGGATAGACAGTTTGTATTTTTTAATTAGGGATGGGACAGGATTTTTATTGATATTCGGAACAGGAACAGGATAGGATTTGTCTTCCCCTGCAATGAGAAACGCTTCAGTTTGCTTTAAAATTCTTGTGTAAAGTTAAAAAAAAACAGTGATAAAACACAATTTAGGGCCTTTATTTCACAATTATATGTCAACATTAAAGTAATCTGTGATCACATCAATATCGTTAGTATCTCCCGCGACCACAGGGACATCACCATCACCTGCCATAACACCAAAACCGGTAACATCTTCTACGATCACGTCAAATTCAAGAACATCTCCTGAGATCTTGGGAATAACCAAATCTTCTCCCGTAATAACTATGAAATCATGTATGTCTCCCGAGGTCGCAGAGACATTATTATCATCCCCCATGATAGCGGCGATATCCTGGACAATTCCTACGATCACGAAGGTATTATTACCGTCTTCTGCAATAGCGGCATCATTATCATCTATTCCCATCCCGGATACATTATCAACATCACTTGCAGTGACATTCCAAGATTGTGCCCTGCAATACTAGTTTCAAAATTGTGGACATCTCCCGTGATGACAAAAGCATCATCACTGTCTCCCGCAATAGTAAAAACACCATGATCCAGTATCGCGATCCCTGATACATCATCATTGTAATTTGCAAAGACATCATAATCATTACTAGCGATCAGAGTAAAGTCGTTGACAGTTTCCAGCTCGAGAAAATCTCAAATAAAAAGTAATGTAGTTTTCCCGAAATTTTGACATCTCTAGTATCAACATTAACAACAAGTCATGCATAAGATTAAAAAACTAACATAAAGAAAAATAGCTGAAGGTGAGAGCCAATCTATAATATTAAAATGAAACAGTGTTTTTTTATTTCACGATTCTGAATGTCGAAGCCATAATTTTAGTTTAGGGTCCCAGTTTTTTAGAAATTAAATTTAAATTTTTTAAAAGTCTAGCAGTCGACGCTAAGATTCTAAACTTGCTTTTGGCATAAAATAATTTGCTTAACATAACAGCTGTAAACATTCAGCTTTTGTGTCACAAATTCAGCATTTGGATAAAAATGTAAAGACATTCTTAGGGTTGACTTATTTATACTATATGTAATGCTAATCATTGATATGTTCAATTCTTCGGTAAGAGGATTACAATATAATTAAATATACATAGTAAAATACTAGGATGTTCAAATTATTTTTTAAAGCAATCATTGTAATCTTCGATTTGTTTTAGAGCAATATAATTTGTTTTAACTAACAGCTGGTTAAATATAAACTGTGGAACTATGAGGTTATTTTATTTACTTTTATTTTGTCATTGATTATAGGAAATAAGTAAGATTAGTAGAGATAATTAGACCACAGTTTTAACCAAAATTAATTAAACCACAGTACAAATCGAGGCTCTGTACACGAGTCTCAATAAAAAAGGATAAATGCAAATTATTTTACTGCTCCACTTTTCAAGGAAAGATAAAAAAATAACAGTGTTTTCATGTATTAATTCTTAATGGTAGCTGTATGTTTACAATTAATGTTTGTGTTTGTCTGCTAACTTTGTTTGGATTAGGCCCGGAAATATTTATGTCATAAAAAGAAGATCAAGAGTAATCAGGAATCACGATTTTAAATTACCACCACAACCTCAGCCGGGTTTTATACAAAGATAAACAGATGGATGACAGATTGAACACAACGTCAACATTGACCTAGGATACTGCAATTAGACAAACCATCCTTTTATGAAATCGTGTTCAGTTGTGGTTACGTTTCGTTTGGGGGTGCCTATATCAGCGCCCCCAAACGTGAAAATATCACTTTTATTTCAACTATGAATATATTGTAGTTTAAATGAACTAATATGGGAAATTACGATGTACGTTTATTCAATGAGGGTGGGTAATTATCAAGGATAGAACTGATAACGGTATGGATAATAAACATTGACAATTACGTCATTAGCTTTACTAGCGTGTTTACTTTTTTTCTTTGTTTACACTTATTTATTTAGCAATTAATGCATTGAAATTGATATAAAGGATAGGTGTGATGATTAGTTTTGATGTTAGGACACCAAAGTTAAATTATGTGTACTGTGAATTTTATTGGATATTATCGTTTTATTTTAGGTCGTTTCTATTCAGACCTACTGGAAATTGTGTATAGTAATTGTCTTTTGCTGATAATAATTATGGAAGAGGCAGGTATGCTATGGAAGGTGGTATCGTTGACTAGGCCTATACACTTCTCAATTGATAATTACTCTTTCTACTGTAGGCTGCAATAAAATTTGTCTTTATACGTGTAAACTAGCTGTTCTGAATTATAGGCCTACACAGTTTTAACTGACTACTCCCGTACGTAGGACGGGCTAACACCTCGTTCTCAATAATAATAATTTCAACCAGAGGTGGTCATCGATTCGATTACTCCCCCTAATGTCAGGAGCCCAAATTCCCCTCATAACTAAGCCACTCGTCCCTTCCCACATCAAAACCAAAAGTTACAAGAATTTACTAAAATAAAAAATAAAGAAACAACAGCTAACTGTAAATACTAAATGTTAAGTTACAAAATGAGGATGAAAATAGTCAAGATATTTCGCTAATTTTGAAATTATGAAACGGCCTTGCTCATTAAGGAGAATTAGGAGGCTTCACCCAAAATAATTGGTGGTAATAAATTATTAGAAAACATAGCTTACACTCACAGTTTAGGTGACTTTTACAGACTTTTCATATAAAATTTTTATAATTATTATTATTATTATTATTGACATTTTTGTATTATTTTTTGCAGTTACTGTATAAAACTGCTCTAATTTTCGCTTTTTAATAAAACAATTCTCACGTTTCTAAGATGCTTGGTTATTTATTTATTTCATCTTAAAATGTTTCCAATGATTTATGACCACCCTGTATAATTAACTAGCTGTAACCCGCGGGCTTTGCCCCGTTTAACTTCTTAATTTTCAAGATTATCTCGTTCGCGTGGCTCAATCACGTCCTGGTTGAAGTTTGTTCGCTATGCTCACTCACCTTTAGGTTGGAGCTCGTTCGCTACGCTCACTCACGTTTAGGTTGGAGCTCGTTCGCTGCGCTCACTTGCCTTCAGGTTAGCTCGTTCGCTACGCTAACTCGCCTCCAGGTTGAAGTTCGTTCGCTACGCTCACTCACCTTTTGGTTGCAAATTAGCTGTTGTCATAAATGTAAAAGAAATAATAGTGCTGCACCCTGTTGGTAATCCTTGTAACTTTAATGCTATTGAACATCATAGAACAGAACCAACTTTTAGTTGAAACAGCTGTTAAGATTCAATAATTCCATTTCTCATAAGGTTAACATGGGAAACTCCAGAGCCACTGGGGCGGAGCCCGAAAGGATTTTTGAAATAAGAATATGCCTATATGTTAATCGGGAATGTGAGCTATCATCATGCCAAATTTCAGCCCAATCCGACCAATATTTTTCGCGTTCACTTGTCACAAACATACATCCATCCATACATCCAAACTTTCTCATTTATAATATTAGTAGGATTGATGTTATTACAAAAGAATGCCAATTGAAGCAAACAAAATTGTGACAGACAGATTATGCAAAAAATTGGGTTGTACTTGATTAATGTGAACAATTGTTATCATTATCAATGATGAAGAAACATGTGTCACTTAATACGGCTATGGGTAAGTCGGGAAACATTTGTAAAAAATACTAAACAAACATCATGTTCTAAAAAATGATAAAAATGATAATTATATTATGACTATACGCTGTTATGAACAGTGTGAATATTGCCATTAGTTAGATACGCTTTGAGTCGAGTCTTTGGTTTTGAAATAACTCCTGTAATACTTGACAATTACTCGGTTTTGAGCAACACTAGTAAAATTAATAGCTAAATAAAAATGGTCTATGGCAATATGACAAATAAAAACCCCTTCACCCAGAATCCACACTTGCCTGACTCACTTGCCTGCCACACTCCCCCACTGCTGTCAACTAGTTGATGATGATCAGTATTATGTGAACAAGTTGACATTGTTCAGTAGTAATATAATGATATCATGTAAAATTGTTAAGATGTAGGCCTAATATTTTTCAAGCAACAACCTTTTTTCAAATAAAACTATCATAAGCTCAATTTGTAGATTATTCTATGGGATTGAGTCCAAAAACATTATTTCCAGCATCAAACCAGCAACATTTGGATTTGAAATTTGCCAGTGAATAAAAATAAAAATATGTAGGCCTGTAGGAAAGGCCACACTAAAAAAAACATGCCGTAATGCTCGTCAAGCATGACGTCACGATAGAAGACGGCAATGACGTAATGTGAAGAAAAGATGAAAAGATTAAAACAAGCAGCTGATCACAAATGGCAAACATTACGTCATTGCCGTCTTCTATCGTGACGTCATGCTTGACGAGCATTACGGCCTTTTTTTTAGTGTGGCCTTGCTGTAGGCCTACCATTAATTCAGCCAATTTAAAAATCAGTTTAAGACTCAGCTATAAGCCACTATTCCTTTCCTATAAATTATTCATACCAAAACTTTCAACTCAGAATAATATACTTTTTACAAATCATAGACTCACTTTAAATTGGGAAAGCTTTCAATAGCCAAGCTTACTGTAACACCCCACTGCAGTCAAAGTACAAGAGAGTTGATGCATAGGTAGCCTACGACACCTGGACACACATGTGACATATTATGATTTCAAAATAGGGATGGACGCGGGAATAAATATTCCTGATCATTGAGACAGAATTACATTAGATTCGGGATTTTCTTGGTACACAATTTAACCTGATCGTCGGCAAATTCGCCGTTTTGCAACTGACAAAGACGCCATTTCCGCGATCACGGGAGATATCGCCGGTATGGCGGGTGAAGGTGACTACGTCTACGCTGTTATGAGAGATGTTTACGAGGGTCCCGCGGCTTTAGGAGGCGATGACGATGGCGCTGTGACCGCGGAACCTGTCGACAATGGCACCGTGACCACGAATAATGTTACAATGGCGCCGTGAACATGGTAGATGTTTAGACAATGGTGCCGCCATCGCAGATTAGTCATGATGGTATTGGGTTAGGTACACATTACAAAATTGAGCTTTAAAAGCTTAGCTTACAAACTTTTTACAGCTAAACCACTTTTCAAATGATAACCATGTTTTAAAAATACAGTGATAGTATATTTAGATATATGTTTGTATATACAGTATATAGCTAGGGGTATTTTATAATGGGACTGATTGTTTACAGTTAAACTAAACCAATTATGAAATTTTAAGTCACAAATTTTGTTTGACCTACCTGTGTATTTTTATAGGTCCTATTAGTTTTTTTGTGAATAAGTGCCACAAAGGCTGGAAATAGATTTAGTTTGCTATTTTTTATATATGCAGTAATAAAAATATGTTTATATGTTTTTTATATGTTTGTAACAAACACGTTTTTGTAAGGAGGGAAAAATCCCGTCTCGTCCCGTCTTGAAAATTCAGAAGGAAATAAAAATCCCGTCCTGAACTAAAAATTCAATCCTGTCAATCCCTACTTAAAAGTTATAGAAATGGCCAGTCCACTTGTCACACTGTACCTACTTTTTTTTTTTTTTGGACAAGTTTCAATTGATGTAGTTAAATTATAATGGAAAACAAACTTACAGGACAAATTCCACAAGGCATGCGAACGATGCCAGGAGGAAGCAAGTAGGATTCCATGGCTTGGTATAGATATTCTCCATTCACATTTAAAATCCGGTCTACTTTACCATCGTAAAGCAATGTATCCAGGATTGTCTTGATGTCATCTTCCGACAGTTGAACCTATAACAGCCAGTTACTGATGTAGTCACCAAGTTGCCTCAGCATTCTTCTAAGATATGATTTTTCTCAAGAAATGTTCATCACCTTTTCTCATGTTCTATGATAATACCAATAATCAACAACGAAGTTGGTGATTTACCAGCTTGGCGATTTTTCAGCAGAAATGCTGTAATTTTAAGAGTTTTCATTAGTGCCGCGTCCTTGAAGGTAGTCCCATAAAACTAGGGATGGACGGGTCCCGAAATTTCGGGAATTTTTCGGGAAAAAATATTCCCGATTATCGGGACGGGATTACGTTTGACTCGGGAATTTTTCGGGACGGGATTTGGTCCGATCGTCGGCGATTTTTCCGCTTCGCGAGTGCCGATGACGCCGTTATTGCGAGCGATAGGTCCGCGAACGCAGGAGACGATGTCATACCGATGATCGCGCCGTGACCGCGGAGTCCTACCGACGATCGCGCCGTGACCGCGAGTCATACCGACGATCGCGCCGTGACCGCGAGTCATACCGACGATCGCGCCGTGATCGCGAGTCATACCGACGATCATGCCGTGACCGCGAGTCATACCGACGATAACCCTGTGACCGCGGAGTCATACCAACGATCGCGCCGTGACCGCGGAGTCATGCTGACGATCGAGCCGTGATCGCGAGTCATACCGACGATCATGCCGTGACCGCGAGTCATACCGACGATAACCCCGTGACCGCGGAGTCATACCAACGATCGCGCCGTGACCGCGAGTCATGCTGACGATTGCGCCGTGACCGCGGAGTCCTACCGACGATCGCGCCGTGACCGCGAGTCATGACGACGATCGCGCCGTGACCGCGAGTCATACCGACGATCGCGCCGTGATCGCGAGTCATACCGACGATCATGCCGTGACCGCGAGTCATACCGACGATAACCCCGTGACCGCGGAGTCATACCGACGATAACCCCGTGACCGCGAGTCATACCGACGATAACCCCGTGATCGCGGAGTCATACCGACGATCGCGCCGTGACCGCGAGTCATACCGACGATCGCGCTGTGATCGCGAGTCATGACGACGATCGCGCCGTGACCGTGAGTCATACAGACGATCACCCCGTGACCCGCGAGTCACAAGTTACTATAGGTACCAGTAAATTGTTACCCATTTTTTGGTTTTTATAGATCAGTGCCACAAATGGTAAAAATTGATTTCGTATGTCTTTTTTGGTAACTGAAATACAGTACTTTCTTTTTATGCACAGAAAAAAATCCCGTCCCGTCCCGTCCCGAAAATCGGGAAGGAAATAAAAATCCCGTCCCGAACTAAAAATTCAATCCCGTCCATCCCTACATAAAACTAATGTTGAACTTGTGACCGCAACGCCTTCTCGGGTGTCATAAAAATATAATATTGGTGTCAAATTTAAGGTACTATGACTGTTCTCTAGGGAAATGCCTTTTTATTTTTCTGAAACAAACTCTAATTATCTGTAAACAAATGATAAACTAAACACGTTTCTGATATGTTTATAATTTTTTTTACAAAATATTTAAGTTTGTTTCAAAAATATAAAAAATGCATTTCCCTAGAGAACAGTCATACCTTTAATTTGACACCAAAATTATATTTTTATGACGACCAGGGAAGGCGTTATACATGTTTAACATTAGTCTTATGGGACTATCTTCAAGGTCGCAGCACTAATGAAGACTCTTAAGATCCATATTATTTTTCTGCAGAAATGCTGTAATTTTAACATCCATGTTATTTTTTAAGTTTTGGTGCTAGTTCTAATCGATGTTATATTGACTTTAAGTAAATTAATGATTTTTGGCGAATACACTGACTTTTTCACCAAGCAAAACAGATAGCACAACTCTTTGTAACCTATACCAACTGTTATGCCTCATCAACTATCACATGAACAAAGACTGAGAGAGAAAATATAATTTTTTTACAATCATCAAACTCTGTGAGTAGCTCATTCGTGTTCTTTTTTAAAAAATCTTCTCACCTTACTGATGCCAAGCTCTGTGATGAACTTCCACACATCCGTAGCTGTGGCGTACGCCATCGTCTGAGCCACTAGAGGTCCACTCTTGGCGGCCACAGGGCCTGTCTTCTCCTTGCGCTGCTGCAAGTATCGGTAACACTGCTGGTTCAGCACATCTACAAACTCAGCCTCAAAGTCCTGATCACAGTACCAAGCCCCTCCAGTCAGTGAGCGGTCGGGTTCCAAGTTATACAGCATGTAAACTTTTTTCTTGCTTGCCTAGAATAACAGTTTGACCAATCAGGTTTTAATGACTGATGAATTGATGGTTGATAAATGTTACTTTAGTGTTCAACCATTTTTATGGGTAAAGTTGGAGTATTGCCTTTGCACGAAAAACAACTTTCAACTCATGCTTAAACAAATTAGAGTATTGAGGCTCTACAAGTATTTCCAAACTATCCATTACCCAAAGCAAGTTTGATTTTCATAGACTTGTATTTCCATAGCTGCTTAAAAGAAAAAAATTACAAGAAAGTTAACATTTCAATTATATGTAGTTGAATTATTGATCTACCGAGCATAACTACGACTACATGTCCATTGAAGATCTAGGACTGCAGCACACGTTGTGTTACATATGTGTAATGCTGACAAAAAGCCTCTGGCCTCTTCACCCAACGGTAGCAGGAAGGATGAAGCCAAACACACCGCGTGGAATCATAACTTATTTATTAATTTGCATTGAATTGGAAACACATCTATCTATATTACTTATTTAATACGCAAGCAGGTTTTTTGTGACAATTACTCCTCCGAAACTACTGAACCGATTGGCATGTTTTTGGTGTCATTGGAAAGAGTGTAACGTTAAGTTGTGCAGGAAACTTTCTTTTTAGGGAAATAATTAGCAAGTGAGGCCCTGGGGCCCTTTAAAGTTTCGTATTTCTCCATAAGATTAACATGGGAAACAAAAATTGTTATGAAACTCCAGCTGTTGTCAGAATTTAAAAGTGAGAAGAAGAACATATGTTAATTGCATCGATCTCTTTTTTGGGTTAATATTGTAAACAGTCAATAATTTTGCTAATTTTACAGTTTGCTACAAACATTAACTGACTTGATTGAAATGAAATATTTACTATTTGAATTTGGGTTGGTGTTGGCATAAATACTACAATGGAAAAAAGCTAGAGAGCCTGGATAATTTGATATACTAAAAATAAAACTGAATTAACACTGTGCTGCATTTCTTAGAAATCATTGAAAGAGCCGATTTGCAAACTATGGACACATAGGAAAGTCATAGAACACCACCAATTAATTAATAAGGAGAAGAAATATAGAAATCATATTTTTTTTTAGAATTTATAATCGTATTATAGACAACCTAATGCGGCTATAAGTAAGGCTATCTGAAATTTGACCTCAAAGGGTTGAATTTAGAATGTAGGAAACATTGAATTTAGAATTCAGGAAACATTAAATTTGTAATTTAGGAATCTAGGAACAAAGAAAGAGTAAGGGTGCTGCAGCACAGACCTAACCGTACGTTCTTACATCGTGGACTGCCGGGCTTTCGTGCAGTCTTTGTGCTGTGGTGTAGCGGTCACATGACCATCACGGACCAATCAAAGCAAAGAATTAGTAGCCAAATGAGGCAAAAATATTCCAGGCCGTTACATATGTAAAGCTGAATATGAATGATATGTTCTTTTACAAGTCTGGTCTTAGCCGTCTAAGAACTGCTGTTTCAACAAGAACACTGACAGTTTACTAGGACTGCTGTTTCTTAGCTAGGACAGTTTACTATAAACCTCACAATTAGAACAGCTGGGCTCAGTTATTAACCTATTAAGAGCTACTAAATTTTTAGGACCAAACTGGCGATGTTCTTATTTATCAGTAAAGGATTATAGATTAACCACAGAGCATAGAATAAATATAGAGTCGCCACTCCTATACCTACAGCTATACCAGTAGTGAAGCCGATTTCTTGGTAAGAGAGTCGGGCTCGGAACTTTGAAAACATGGCGTCATTACCACTGTGTTATTCTATGCTACTTTATGAATTAGATGAAGCTACCGCTCTGAGGATACATATAGAACTATCCCCCCTTCGATATTGACCTAGGACCAGCTTTTTTGAATTAGAATCCAGCATTCTCATAAGCAGGGCGGTAGGCAACCCTAATAAAAACAGAGGCCCAATCAATGTTAACGATTATATGTGTGTCCAGCAGAAGCGGGTTTAAAATAAAAAACCTTCAAAAGAGTTACAAAAACATAATCAACAAATAGTTGTGATTCAATTTACAGTAGACTCCCTCTCATACGAACACCTTTTAACCGGACATCGGTTTAACCGGACTACAGTCGACGGAAATGACATCTCTTTAACCGGACAATTATTATCGGCACATTGGTTTAACCGGACTAGATCGGCAGGAAGTGGGCGGTACTGTAACGACTGTTCTTATGGGAAAGATTTGAGACCAGTGATCACATGTCTAAATACAATGCTCTCCTAAATTTAAGACGAATATCACCGTAAACGGTCCATTTTAATGAGTTTTTGGGGACGTCCGGAAAAACCGTTATCCGGACTGGCCTCGGTCCCGAGGAGTCCGGATAAGAGGGAGTCTACTGTATTTAGACTCTATAGCAAAATAAGATCTTAGGTACTAGAGTTCAAACTTTATTAATCTACAAATAGAAAAAGTACTTACAGACACGGACTTAACGGCTTTGATCATTTTCTTTCCTTCTAACTGTTTTAGTATCTTTCCCAAAGTTGTCATCATGAGATTACTTTTAAACCTGATATCACGTATCCAAATACCCTTATTGCCAGCCTCTTCAATAATGCCGTAAACAACCTTTTCTTCATTATCTGCTCCTTTCAGTCTATCAGAAGAACCACTGCCAGATTCTTTTATTTTATATACGAGTCCGGCATTTGAGTTGAACAAGTCAAGCAATCCCTATAATTTTAGTATAATTGTTAGCTTTGGATACTATAAATAAGTACATTATACATCTGAACCTATTGTAAAACATGGAGCCTGTTTTATTCGAGTTTGATGTTTAATAACTTTTGACTGCGTTGGTGAATTGGTGTGACGTCTTAATCATTTATTTCCGGGCAATTTTATAGTGTTCGCTCTAATCATTGCGTTTAGTACTAAGTTCTATTTGGGCATAATAATTTTAGAAAAGTAGCCTAAAACAAACAAGAAATAATATAGGACATTAAACGAACACATTTGTTTTCAGTTCACCAAAATTGTCTTTGCTTATCTGTAGGCCTCATAATAATAAAACTATGAGGTTATGTATGATTTATAAAACAATTGTCAAGTTAAATAACATTTTTAAATCAAAGGAAATACACCTGTATCCATATACTAAATGAATTAACACTCTACTAAAATGAACAAAGAACAATTTTTTTTTTTAAAGATTGAGTTATAGAAATAAGAAGTATGACTTTGGCTTTATTGAAATTAATCTACGCTTTGGGGTACAGTCCCGCATAGAACCTAAGTTATACTGTATTATAAAATGAAATTGTCATTATATAGATATTGATTAACACGTTCGCTACTGAGCGTCGCATATATGCGACGCCGCGGTCATTGCCAAAGACCGAGGTATACATTTGAATCTTACACATAGACCGGCTGTTACTTGGATAACAGTACACACAGACCACGGGCAAAAACCTGTAAACCAGTGATCATTTACATTGTAATACGCTACAATCTTGTTTGTAAATAAATTATTCTTGTTTTTTTTTTGTATTTTTTATAACCTTTTGTAATGTCGCATATTTGCGACGCCCGGTCTACAGCGAAGACAATAGTGAAAATTATCATAGTTTTCTTGAAATAGACTAAACGTCGCATATATGCGACAGTTCATTTTTTGTGTTTTAAGGTGAAAGTAAGTAAAAAATAAACAGATTATTCAAGAACAGTTTATAACTGAACAAATATAAAAGCTACATAGGATGTTGCAGCATACATACTGCATACGTACATACAGTGATGCAGAAAAGTAAAGACCAGTTTTTCCAACTATTATATGACGTCACCAATCATCATATCCACAGACCAAGCAACGCAGTTGTGCGTCAGACATCTCTGTAGACCACTGCAGGGAATTCAGTGCCTTCAAATAGACCACTACAAAGATATAAGCATTTTAATAACATTAGAACCCCGATGCAAATATGCGTCGGCAGTCTATTTTATTGCGACTAGCCGTCGCATATATGAGACGGCAGTCTATGGGTGGAAACCGGCCGTCGCATAAGTGCGTCGCTGGTCCATGTGAATGGAAAATTTCGTACTATTGCAGTAGCGAACGTGTTAAAATATTTAATTCAACTAATATGTATATTGAATTTAAAATATTGATTTTTCTTTTATGGTTTGTTTAATTTATTTACGAAGACAATCGCCCGCCACACTTTTACAGAGCGCTGTGGCGTTAACGTTAGATTTGTTTGGTTCAGTTTAGTTAATGGTACTACAACTAAACAAAGTGCTATTTATTGAAAAAAACTTATATTTTTTAAACTCATGAAAAAATAGGACACAAATGTCTTTGTAAATTTATATTCATCAAATTAAACAACATAGGCCTATAAAATATTTAGACCTAGGCCTATATATATATTATGTTGTTTTTATGTCTAGATCTTTTCTTTCAAATATTTGTGTGAGTCATTTTTACAGAGTTATATTTGTATATTTATTATATTAAAAAGATAATTTTTCTTTTTTTGGAATATATATGTTAAAATTTAATAGGTAAATATTCAATCAAAACATTGATTAATACACTTTTGATGGAGTTATAAATAATTTAATCTAATTAGTCATAGTCTAGGTTTTTGAGACATATTAAGACCCAAGCTTCAAAAGGAGCCAACCTATCTAAAGAATCCAGCTAAAAAGTACGAGGGTCATTCAATAATTAAGTACGGAGGCAAATTATTAACGTCCCAAAATAATTTATTGAATCAGTACCTACAAAATTCTGGTTACTTTTCAACATAGTCCCCAGTAACACTTTTATACCTCTCCCATGTTTCTGCTGATTTGTAAATGCCCTAGGCATAAAATTGTTTAGGTTGATCTCAAAGCCACTTTTTCACCTGATTCAAACTTCTTCATTGATCATAAATGTATCCTCCATAGATCATCTTTAAGGTATCCAAACAGATGGAAGTCTGATGGGGCGAGGTCGGGGCTGTAGGGGGATGTGGAAGGATCTCCCATCCCAGTTTCTTAAGTTTTTCTTTCGTCAGCTGTGCCCTATGTGGACGGGCGTTGTCATGAAGCAAAATCACACCTTCAGTCAAGAGCCCACAGTGTTTCGTTAAAATTGCAGGGGTTATCTTCTTTTCCAGCATGTCATTGTATTGGCTGTTGCTTGTTTTTTGGCCTTAAAGAAAATCACAATAAATTGGCTCCTAAAAATCCCAGAATATTGTAAGCATGACTTTACCGGTAGATGGCCGGGTCTTTAATTTGTTTTAATGGAAGAAGTCGTAAGCTTCCACTCAAGGCTCTGTCTTTTTTACTCTGGCTGATAGTGGTGGATCCATGTTTCATCGCAAATTACAATTCTATTGAAAAAAACCCTTCTCCTTCAGTCGAATATCGATTTTTAACTGTTGACTGATTTGAAGCCGGGTTTCTTTCTGTGCGTCCGTGAGTTGTCGGGGCACCCACTTCGCATAGGTTTTCTTGTATTTCAGCTTGTTATGAATAATGTTATGAACAGTTTCAACACTCACGTTTACTTTTTCACTTATCAGTTTAAGGTGATACACCTATTGTCCCGAATTAATGCGTCAAACCGAGATTTGACTGATTTAAGAGAGGAAGTCCCAACTTCGATCGGTCATCCACTGCGTTGCTCGTCAGACACTTTTGCACAGCAACCTTAAAACTGTAATACCCATTTTTAAACGTTTGAACGATTCAAACAACTGTCTCCGTACACTTTTAACATTGTTTTTTGGACTTCACTACCTACCTTTCTCGTCTTTAAAAATCTGATCACGGGACGTTGTTCTTTCACGGTGCAATGCTCAAGTGACTCGCTATCGCTAACTGAGTAAATTTGAGGTTGCGTTTACAAAATGATGTCCTGAATGTTTTGAAGTGATTCAATAAAACGTTTTTGAGCAATAATAGTTCGTCTCGTTATTTATTGAATGATCCTCGTATTACAACCCTGACTTCTAGTTGAAAATGTTAATCTTAAAATTTATTTTATAAGCTATAATAAGCTCATATTTACAGAATATTAATTTTTTATAATATAAGACTGTAAAACATACATATAATTTTATCAAAAGGTATTTTTTATTAGGCTTACATTTGAGGATAACAATTGACTTTTGGACACTTCGATCAACAGACAAACTCGCATAAAGAATAAAAGTATAGAAGAGTTACAGAAAGGGATATGGATATAAGAACATTGTGTTTACCTGAGCAATAAATTTGTTTATGATAGCTACTCTTTGCTCTGCAGATAAAACTGGGATTTCCTTTTGAATATCTGCATCATTTACCCCTTTGGAGCCAGCTTTCTGGATGAGGCTGATCATTCTAAAACCAAAGTGTACAAGATCAGGACATCAATTATCTATCATTGAGATTGGGCTGCCACCTATGTGCTTACTGCATATTTTACCCCAAATATGAGTGAAGGATGAGTGTAGAATCATAGATAAAACATACTCCCTTAGTAGATTTCTCATCCTTATGGAACAGCTGAAGACAATTTTACTGTTAGTTCTGTACGGTTTATGTAGAGGTCGTGTTTTGTTAACAATTTGTTTCCCGTTATTACAGCCATTTAAAACCTCGTTTAACCAAATAATACGGTCTAATCATAAACAATAACTTGTTCCCTAGTTATATAACCAAACAGTAAAGCACAAACCAAGAAATTAACCCTAAAATAATAGAAACAAAGTTTCGTCGACACTAGTGCCCAAGTGTCACGTACATGAACTAGACACGAAAAACGTGCCTCAAAATTTACAATGGGATGAGAAGTCTACTTGTGTTGGTTAGTCTATGGTAGAATGGAGTGTGATAATCTGTGTAGCTTTGTTACTGATCTTAGTCAGCTGTTACATTAGTCAAAACAAAATAATTTATTTAAAGCCCCATGATCAGGAACAGCTGGGTCCAGTTTTTAACCATCAAAAACTACTGACTTTTTCAGCATTGATACAGCAACCTTTTGATTGTTCTGTGATCACTATAACCTCTCAGGTAACCAGCCATCTTACAGGGAAATACCCCCGCCGTAGCAAACCTGCCGACTAAGCGAATTTACATATGTCTGAATTGAGTTTCAATTAAATCTATTATAATAACATTAGGTTTAACGAGTACCTAGGTTTACTGTTACAAGGAAACTAATAAAATGTGTTTTTGGTAAAATATTAATAGCTTAGTATAAAATAAATAAATTTGCCAAGTTTGATCAAAATATATCCATAAACAAGCAAACAACAACATTTTACAATATTCTCTATAAGAATAACATGGGAATTTTAAATTTAAAACTTTTTTAATTTTCTCCGTTACCAATAACTGTAAAAAACACGTTGATATAGGTATTTAATTCTTTGTTTTTTTTTTTAAGCTCTAAAAAGGTCTAGAGAGAAATTAGGAAATTTTGTGTTTTGAGGGTCAAAAATGAGAAAAACAAATTTTTAACCCAAAATCCCCAGTAAAACCCCGTTCCTTTTTTCTTTAAAATACAGTTGCGTGAAATTTGCAACTGAAACTGATGATTTAGTTTTTATTTGGTTTTATTAATCTAATTCGTTGATTATTAGTTTATTTGTATAGTAAACTAATTTTAAAAAGTTTATCAGGGCCGTATTTCTCTAACGGCGGACAGGGCGGTTGCCGGGGGCCTCAGCCTAGGAGGGGGCTTTACATGGGGCCTCAAATATTTTTTCTTGATCAATTTATTTCACCAAAAATCTTTTCCGCCGCGATTGCGGGTGCTGTTGGTGAAATCTGAGTGACCGCAAAAGATCTTCGCTATTTCGCCGTTAGCGTAGGAGTTGTCATCCATCATCACGGAAGAAGTCCAAGATTGTATCGCGACCGCAGGAGACGATGATGATGTCTAGACGGCCACAGGAAATGAACTAAATGATTTTGCCATGATCGCACAAGACGACAATCACGTTTTCGAGACCGCAGGAGACGATGATTATATCTACACGGCCACGGGAAATTAACTTGATTTTTCCGCTATTGCACAAGACGACAATCACGTTTTCGAGACCGCAGGAGACGATGATTATATCTACACGGCCACGGGAATCGAACTGGATTTTTCCGCTGTCGCACAAGACGACGATCACGTTTTCGAGACTACGTGAGACAATGATGATGTTTACACGGCCGCGGGAAATATTCATGATTTTGCCATTTTGCCGCTATCGCGAAACTCGACGATCACATTTTTGTAACCACAGGGGACGATGATGATGTCAACACGGTTCAGATGTTCATGATTTTGCCGCTATCACGCAATGCGGTGATCACGTTTTTGAAACCGATGGAAACGATGATGACGTTTACATGGCCGTGGGAGATATTCATGATTTTGCCGCTATCGCAAAACTTTGACGATCACGCTTTTGTGACCGCAGGAGACGATTATGATGTCTTCACGGCCGTGAGAGATGTTTATGATTAAGCCACCATCGCGCAGGACAACGAGCACGTTTTCGTGACCGCGGGAGACGATGATGAGGTCTACTCGGCCACGCAAGATGTTCACCATTTCTCCGCGGCCACATGAGTCATTTATGATTCCGCCACGATCAGAGGAGACAAATAGGACGTCTCAGCGCTCACGCAAGATGTTCACCATTTCTCCGCGGCCACATGGGTCGTTCATGATTCCGACGTGTTTGGAGGGAAGTGAGATGAAGTGTCAGCGCTCATGCAAGAATTTAATAGACTTATTTAATAGCTACTCTCCTATGTCTTTTTTCGATCAGATTGTTGGAAACAAAAGGTAATTCATCGAGTTGAAGCAGTAGCTACATTACATTGTTAAAACCCCACACATGAGTGCATACTTTGAGCTCATCCATTCCTCCCAAAGCCATGTTTTAGTTACGCCAATACTACTTTGTATGGTCGCCATTTCTATGAAAAGTATTTAAGTATTGAAGTATTAAAATTTTACAAAGAGTATCAACCTGATGATGTGGCCGTCGTCACGAAACATGTAGTATCGTATCAACAACATTTCTGGATATTGTAAGGTAGTCAAAATATTCTATACTACACTAAGTTAACTTTAGAAAAAAGCCAAATTGAAAGATATACTTATTGAAGACTTTGGCATCCTTTAAATCGTGTAATTTACTTTAGTATCAAGAAATAATAAATAAATCAAACTGCATTTATCTAACTAGACTCATTTGAGCGAAATACTTCCTAAAGCTGGTCCATTTAAATTACATGTCTATGTTACAAACTTAAAGTATGAGCTATAATGTAACTGGACAATAAAAACCATCTTTTGAGGGAAGAGGGTAGGGTATTTAGATATAATATTGGTATAGATGATTAATTGGGAGATGATTAAATATTGGTAAGTCTGACAAAAGAAATTGTATTGTTTTCAGTGTCAATAGGCCTACTCTCCACCAGACTTATCAAAACCTAAGATCAAATTTCTATTATGATTAACACGCTCAAAAATGGAAGTGCTTGTTTAAAACTCAGCTTGAGACTTATTTTAAATAGTTATTACCTCTGTTCATGGCCTATTTCCTTTCCACTTGGATCTACAGAGGTTGACGTCATTTTCTGATAGCTATGAAGATTTACTTCCTGAAAAAGTTTACTTAGTAATTTAATGTCTAGTAGCTTAGGCTGGTTTTATGCATTGCGACAGTCGCGAGTCGCGCCACGTATTGCGGCTGACCAAAATGACACGCGACAGCGACACTTTTTCGTCGCGTAAACTCACATCCGATGGTGGAGGAATTAAAGAAATCAGTCTGTTCTCAATCCAATGTTGTGTGTTGTGTTTGTGATGTAGAAGTGATTATTAAGTTGTTTTAAATATAGACGAAAAAACCCTAGTTATTTAAACAACACATACAATTTACAGTTGGAATTGGGTCAACCCTCTTAAAAATGTCATAACATATTATAATGATGTAATTTATATTACAAATAAAGGGTAAAGAACTCATTTATATACTAATTATTAACATTAATCAATATAAATATATGGAGAATATACGTGGAGTATGAAAAATACTACTGTCGCGGTGCATAAGCGTGCCCATTTCATCCAATAGAACTTGAACCGCGCGCGACACATTTTTTGAAGCTGCAATTCTAAAACCTGTCGCGGGTATTTAGAGATCTCCGAGTCGCTCGCGCAGCAGTTTGTCGCTGTCGCGGTGCATAAATGCTCCCATTTAACTCAATAGAACTTGAGTCGCGCCGCGACACGCGACTGTCGCGGTGCATAAAACCGGCCTTAGTGCTATAGAGCTAAACTAAGTTATTATTTGATATAGGGCCTAAGTAGGCTATAGAATCAAAATACCCCTGCCGCAGCAAACCTGCCGACTAAGCGAATTTCCATTTGTCTGAATTGATTTTCAATTAAATTTATTTAAATAACATTAGGTTTAATAAGTACCTAGGTTTGCTGCAAATTTTACGGATGATAGGCTACGTCTGTAGCCCTGTCCATCTCAACTGCCAAGGAATAAGAAATAAAATATTTTACTAAAAAAAATAATACTAGGCAGAGGTTTGATTCCAATTTACTAAACCTCCATCCAAACAAAACTGAATTGCTCTTTTTTTCTATCCAAGGCAATCCTTCTACAAACATTCTTCTAGACGATGTAGAAATTAAGTAGTCAGACTGTGTTTATGTTCCTTGGTCTGTTCATTGGTCTAAATATCCATGGATATATGAATCTTTACTTTCATGACCATGTCCAAAATGTATACATAAGACTGGGGTCTGGCTTCTTCCTTTTGAGGCAACTTTCAAATTTCTCCGATCAGAATGTCACTCTGAGAGCCTATTATCTGGTCTGCACAGGCACAGTACAGACATAGGAATGAAAGAACTCAATTTTTTATTTCCACTCCAAAAGAGAGCAAATCAAACTATCTAAGTCATAAGTCATTTATTTGGCCAGATTTACATTAAGTTAATGCATTGGCTAAGTCACTTATTTCCATTCATACTTGGCTTAAAATACCTACTTTGTATGGTCGCCATTTCATTGAAAAGTATTTAATTATTAAAAGTCAATATACTTGTATTAAAAAATACAGATAGTATTATAAACTATACAATAACTATTAAATTAAACAATATTTACATTCAATCAATTCATGAACTAAGTTAACTTAAAAGTATACCATATGCCCATGACTAGGTACCCGTCAGCTATAAAATCACCGACACTATAGTAGGCTAACACTTAAACACCAGTAATTTCCAAAGTGATTTTTTAACCCTCCGTCGGTCCCACCTAATCTATTAGATATACCGCAACATGGAAAATTCCTGCCATTTTTGTGTTCTCGCCCGAAAACCGGTCTTGGCCAGTGTGCTGTTCATCCCCTCCCCGATACACCTAGTATCACTGTTAGCGTTGTCTCTTGCACACATGCCTTGTTTTGCTCTTGTAGGCCTATCTTATAGACAGTGCGATTGCCCGACTTGTCCAGTTTTTATTTTGTGATGTATCTCAAAATAAAAACGGGACCGGTCTCGTTTTTTTTGTGATCTATCTTTGTTATATCATACAAAAATTAAGTAACTTAATTCTATTAAATATAGAAATAAATCAAACTGTTTTTTACCCAGCGAGAAAACGTCGAGTTCAATTTTACATGCAGTGGCACTGGTCGCAATCCTAGTTTACATGGGCATGATCACACTGTATCTAATGGATACAAGAATGTGTATGGTCTGACAACTTTTTTTTAAAAATAATTGAGAAATGCTTAAGTTAGACGACGTGAAATATGTATGAAATCTATAGACCTACTTAGGTCAAAAGTTGTTGTAAAGAGTAAAATAATAATTAGGGAGAAAATATATGTCTAAGGTACTCAAACAAATTTTTAAGGAAAAATGTATCTCAGAGATATAGTGCGACTGGTCACGTTAAAAAATAGGTGCGACCGACGGAGGGTTAAAAACAACAGGGTTTAAAAATAATGAGGGAAAATTACCCATAATAATCTGTTGTAAGGACGTTCTGATCATAAAAATTGGAAAGTTGTTCAGAAAGATGCCGGAACAACCCTCATACACACACTGTCAGCATGTTCATAAAAACGATAGTGTTTGTCTAATAGGCTATTAAACCAAGAAACTTGACACATTCTGCCGATTCAATTTCCACGTTGTCTAAAAGGATAACTTAAACTTAGTTGTGAGTGGATTGCCTTGGATGGAGAAAGGGAGCAATTCAGTTTTGTTGGGGTTGAGATTTAATAAATTGGAGGGGTAGACTTCCATATCTGTTGGCAAAAACAACCGAATGAAAATATGATCGATATATCGATTATTTAATATATCTTTTGGTTAGTTAATGTCGTTAAGGGGAGTCGCTACTAAAAAACTACCAATTTTGTAAAAAACTTGATTTTTTTTATTATTTTTTTATCTTGTTCTATGGATTGTAAGGTTTCAGAAAAACATAACATTTGGTATAATATATATTTTTATCACTGTGAAAAAAATATTTGAAGTGAAGCGTGCACACCTCTTTTAAGGGCATCAACTAGGCCTAGTATAAACTTCAACCGCTGTTTTCCGCGACTTTAAAACTTTGTTTTTTTTATATATAAGTTCTTATAACTTTTTAACTATTACAGCTATATGAATGAAATTTTTACCACACATTGTTTATACTATAAATCAACTTTCTGTGCATGGATATTGTAATTGGGTAAATAAAAGTACATGAAAAAAAATTTATAAAAATTTATAACCTATAAATTTTTCAAAAACTTATTTTTGAAGCCATAACTTATAAACTAATTGAGAAAATAACATGAGTATGCACAGAAAGTATGTGCTTTCCTTGCTCTTTAAAATAAGATATCGGACAATAAAATTGGTTCAGTAGTTAAATAGTTATAAGAGATTTAAAAAACCCCATTTTTTCCCGCCAAAAAACTTAAAAAACTCCAAAAAGTTTGTAAAAAAAATTTTTCTTTTTACTTTAACGGCAGTAAATCTTTTTCTAAGACTAAATGAACTTAAAAAAGTATATATGATAATTTTCAAAAGGATTTTATTAAAAATCACTAGGTAGTTTCAGTAGCGACTCCCCTTAAGGTTAACCTAACCTAACTAACCAAACGATAAGTTATATCGAATGTTGAATGAAACAATCGAATAGTCAATATTTCCATTCTGTTGTGTCCGCAATAATCTCCTATGCAGCATCCAACATCTCTAAAAGTGAGCTTCAATAGTGAAAATCAAGAAAAACTTTACCACCCAATAAAAAGAACATGAACATAACCTCACATTTTTGCTGCCATAATAAAGTAAACAAATTGAATGGTGGAGGGATTGGCAATAATTTTACTAAGAGAGGGATGTAATTTCAAAGTTAGATACAAAGCGTAACAAACACATAAATGTAACAAATATTACCCTAATAATTAATATTATTTACCTTTCCAGCACAAGTTGTTTATTTAAACTATTGTCGTTTTGTTTTATCTTATCGTTAAATTTATCATCTTCTTCATCTTTCTTGTTATTGGACGCTGTTGGTCCAGGTTTGCCAACTCCCCCACCGAACCTGCCTAAAATACCCACTTTTACGCGATTAATAGAATCAGATTAAAAATAGTATTTTTGTCAATGAGTATTAATTAAAAGATTAATTATAAAATAACGCAAAACAGGTTTGTAAGTTACTGGTTGATCTAGATTTCTCCCCAGAAAGAAATTGCAAATACATTCTGTTAAATATTCCCAGTGGTTTATAGCGACTGTAAAGAAAAAATATATAAAATAAAGTCCATAATAGAGTCTAAAATATTTAAAATTACTTCAAACTTTTTTGAAACGATGCTGTGTAGGAAGAAGATATTTGAATTTATTGTTTATTTTACTTTTATAATAGTATACACTGGATAAAGGATGCCCAAAAACTTTTGTGCTTAAGAAATGAATCATCATCATACAGTCGTATAAATTAAAACAGTACTCAGTGGCAGTTCTAAGACCTTGTCAGGGGGGCCTAACGGTAGGACGCTAGGAGGGGTGGTCCGGGGTCCCCCGAAAAATTTGCTATTTGTAAAGCCGTTTTGGGATTTTTTTGTCATTTTTAACGTCTACGGTGTCCAATAACCACCTTAACGATTTAATGACTAAATGTAAATTTTAATTCAAATGGTTTAATTTTCAGGGTGAGGGTCCAATATGGGGGGGGGCTTTACCCTATATAGCCCCCCCTTGAACAGCCACTAATAGTATATTATATTATGTCTTCTATGTGTTTCAAAATCCAACATTTCAGACCCTATGCTAATTCGACCGGAGACACAATTTGTGTACAAGCAAGGCCGCACTAGATGTACAAGCCATTGTTCTGTGTTGGCAGCACTGTTTCTCACTCAATCACTGAATCCTGAAACTAGTGAAACTGTCGTCGTGTCGGCTGTTTTGTTTTGTTGTTTGAAACGCCGTGTTTTTTTCGCAATTTCGCTTGCTGTTATAATTTTATTGTTTTGTTTAATTTATTGTGCTCGAACTTCGCACTATTCTGTCTTGAAGAACCCTCACTGATGTATTACAGTAGGTAATTATTGCTGCATTG